TCTGAGACCGGGAGGGGGAGGAATAGAGGCGGAGGGGTATTTGTAGCTTACCGGGCGACCGACCCTTAGGGCGTCGGAGATTGAGATCCTCTTTCACGGAAATGTTTGGGGCTATGTTTTGGGATGGAGATGCGGCGGACCCCAATCGCACGTGGCCGAAGGAAAGCCGATTCGGCCGAAGGCGGTCCGTGGTTATGGCCTGAGGTCGAAACTCAATCGGTGTAGTTTGAAGCACATCCACCTTCAAGTCGATCGGGCCCTATAGCGATGCAGTGCCAGGGCATTCATTCTCCCTCTGCCTACCACCACTACTACTCATCCACACACCCCTCGGTGAAATGAATACTACTTCGTATTCCCCATCGTATGTTGCCCACCTGATGTCTTCGTTTCATATGAACCCAATCTATTTTCTCTTTGACCCTCTCTCGTGTGACGGTCACCAGAAGCTACCCAATCGAGAGGGTACGTACATATATAACTATCTATTTCAATAATTAATAATAATGAGTGGGAATCTGAGCTCGCTTTAGACTTTCCCTTTACGGCCGAGGGCACCACTTCAATGTCCGGAATTCCGAGATCGTGGCGAAAAAGGGGCCAAGATAATCAATCCAAATAAACAGGATTACTTTGTAGCGCATCGAAGGGGAACCCTCCACAAGTTGACTTGCCAACGTACCAATCCCTGGGATAGGAGGGGGGCATTGAGACAGTTTCGGAGATTTCCTACCCACGGCCATACGAACCGTCTCGGAGCCGAGCGGGAAACGCATGAACTCATCATGAGGCTTTGTCCTGGACGGGGTTAGCAAATATGAGGAACCGTTTGTGGGGTTTCTCGTTTCGGAACCGAGATCGACAAATACGATAGCTTTGGACTGTGAAGAAAACCGGTTATTCCCAGCTTCCGGACTTCGCCCATTTCCCTGAACTACCTCTCAACCCAACGACCGAGATCGGTTCCTCCTGTCAGCGTACCCAGGGAATGGTCGCACATGGGAGCTGGACGGGAAATCCGCCAGCCATATGCATTCGAACACCGACCGCGAAGGATTGATCAGGCAATCCGGACAGGGACTACCGACTCAGATGCTGAAACCGACTCCTTCCAGTTTCCTCTCGACGATTATATGGCTCCAGGGGATGATGGGGAGGACCGAACGCACGGATACATAAGGGAAACACGAAGCTTGGCTGGAGCAATGGGTGGTATGATTCTGCGTTGTTGGTCGGGCCCAATTGGTCAAACACCAATACGGACAGAGAACAGCAGATGAGCCACATAAATCTGCCCAGGTACTACTGCTGTGGACATATGGCCACCTCACCTCCGTGTAAGTGCCTTTCAACAGCTGTCCAGTGCTTGATCTCTGATCAGGAGAAGTCCACCGTTCCCAGAGCCCAACTGGAATAAGCAGCAGCAATGATCACCCCGCTAAGGATGGAATGAATGAATAAAACCATTGTTCCAGTCAGTGATAGCGCAGCTAGAAGAGGGGCTAATCTTGACTACTCTAGGTACCCTCAGTGGGCTCCCCAAACAGACTCTTTCGAGATAACGCAGGCGACAGCGAAGAAACAGCAAGAATATGGCGTCGCACCACTGCATCCATGACGGAGCTTGACCCATGTAGACATGTCTGTAATCGTAGCCGATCAAGGTCACTTCTACCATCCTGACAGATGGTGTTACGCATTATAGTAATTATATCTCGGTATTCTTTTTGTTATATACTACGGACCTGAATCCATCTTTGGTATCAGGAGGACCCAAGAGTCGATGAATCATTCATACAGGGCATTATTCATCTGAAACTGTCGGAAAAGAGCACCGGGGTCTCCTGGACACTTTTGTTCCACTAATTGACCCCCCTCCCCCACTCTCACCATATCCACTCTCTTGCATCCTATGATACGGTTCTTTGGCAATCGCTGGAGAAGGCAGACATGGTGATATTGCTCGCTTGAATAAGTTTGAAGTACGGAGGAACCGTAATTTTCCCGGACGGTCTGCTCAGATCTTCATTCAAGGGGCCGAATTCATATGAACAGCGGCATATCATTTCACTAAACAAGTGATGATCCCTCAGACGGGAACCCGAATGGATCCGGCCCGAGCAAGCTTAGGAGAGACCCAGGCCAATGCCCTTGGAATGGAACGCATAGCTACGCTGTGGCGTAGTTATATACTTTGCAGGATGGTGAACTTTATCGCTTTAATCGCGCGCGATTGAAAGGAGGCTATAAAGCGTGGGTTGCGTTCGTGGGAATTGATATCAACCAGGCGGAATGACACTATTTCTTGCCCAGGGAATTCCGAGGATCCTGATCTGGTCCATTCTTCACCGACGCGTCCACAAGTTGTCGAGGCATTCCGGAAATTACAATCTATCAGAAATGGTATGCCGTGAATGGGTGTCAGGGTTGAAGCGAGCATTCAGGAAAAGGACTAGTACTATTCCCTTCGGCTGGGCAGAGTTTGCACGGGTTTCTAAATTGGTCCAAAGTTTTTGCTGGAACTTCACAAGCGAAATGATACTGGATAAAATTCCTGAGAATTATTGGCTATGGAAAAGACCGCTATGTGGACGATACTGTTTTAGTTCAAGGCACAGGGCTTAGTTTGGCCATTTCGGCTGTTAGTCTCACGGCACTCTCCGACGACGACGATCCACCATTGTCCCTCCTTTTCACATTGAAAGTGCACGGGACCAAGTGTTATTGTTTGGATCTGGCGTCTGGGGAATGTAACCGATTGACACATTCTTACCCCCTACCTAGCCCCCGCCTGCTTTGCGGCAGTTGTCCGTCGCACAGGACGCATACTCAAACTTAACCCTAAGTCTACGGATCGCTTGGAGCGAGTCAGGCCCATTCTCAGCGGAACTCCTACATAACACGGATAACATGAGACCCAATCATGTTTTGAGAGAGCCGTGTGTTCCAAGATTTACTTTCTTTCCCTTTCAGATCGCTCATCAAAATATGGATCTGGGGGCTAACCGCCTGTTGAAGAGATGTTACCCACGGGGGGTCACCTCCCGTAGAACTGTGGGTAATTTATATCTGCATTGCGTACGGTTTATTTTTTTGGGTGTAGTTTATCAATGATACATGTAGGTTTCAAGTCACAGCCATGAAACTCACCAGGCTAGCGGTGCTGAATAACCTGGCAACCTTGGCTGTCGCCTGGCTTCCCACGACCGACAAGACTATCACCTCCAGCAATGGAACCGATCTCTTCAAAGCCTCACACGGAAAGATTCGGGGCGTCAATTTGGGCACGCAGTTTGTGTTTGAACCCTGGATTGCTACGAAAGCCTGGTCTGAGATAGGCTGTGAAGGCGAGCAATCCGAATTTGACTGTGTGATGAAGCTGGGCCAGGATGCAGCCAACAAAGCTTTCGCCGAGCATTGGAACTCATGGATTACCAAGGAAGATATCAATGAGATACGTAGCTACGGTCTGAACACGATTCGCATACCGGTCGGCTACTGGATGAATGAAGATCTCATCTATAACGACAGCGAGTATTTTCCACGGGGCGGATTTGCGTACCTCGAGAAGCTGTGTGGGTGGGCCAGTGATGCTGGTCTGTACATCATTATTGACCTGCACGGGGCCCCTGGCGCGCAGGTTGCGAAGAACGCCTTTACAGGCCAGTTCGCCGATACGCCTGGATTCTATGCGGATTTTCAATATCAACGGGCACTCGAGTTCCTCGAGTGGATGGCGATCAGGGTCCATACCTTGCCCAATTTCCGCAACGTGGGAATGCTGGAGGTCGTCAACGAGCCGGTGCAGAATCCCGAGGTCACGGCTACGTTGCGATCCAACTATTACCCTAATGCTTTCCATGTGAGTGTGCCTTATGGAGCTGTATGTAGACACTGCCATACTGAGACACACCCGAACCATAGATCATCCGCAGAGTGGAAAGAGCACTTAGCATCGACAGAAAGGACTACCTGCATATCCAGATGATGGACAGTGCCTGGGGTGCCGGGGATCCCCACGAGCACCTGACGGATGACTACTACGCGGCCTACGACAACCACCGCTATCTCAAATGGGATCCTCGAGTGGAAGTCTCCAAAGACAGCTACATCAAGGCCTCGTGTAACGACAACGTGGCGACCAACTGGCCCGCTATTGTTGGCGAGTGGAGCTTAGGGGTGCCCGATAACGTGCAAGAGACCCCCGAATGGACGCCATACTCCAACCTGGACTTTTACAAGACGTGGTTTGCCGCGCAGGTGAAGAACTATGAACAACACCAGGGATGGATTTTCTGGACCTGGAAGACCCAGCTCGGCGAGTATCGGTGGTCTTATCGCGGTACGTATCGGGTTGTTCTTGTGGAAAACGTCGAGCTGACCATAGTAGATGGAGTCAAAGCGGGGGTGATCCCGACCGATCTGAACGCAGTATTTCTGGATGACGTGTGTAAAGGTCGAGGCGACCAGGTTTTGTAACATTTTAGGATGATCAAGTAGTAATGATGATGATGAAGCATACGATGGTTCTAGCAGTAAGCACCGTGACGCCGACTTTTTGCGCTATAACAAGTAAATGGAATTTTGGACCCCATTGCAACCGCGAGTGTTGGTGGTCACACTGCTGAGACAGGCACGGGCTGATCCAACAGCCCTAACTCTTTCAACTGTTAAACGCCAGTCGATCGGCCCAGTAAGATCAAGCCTGACAATCCTTCACATCGGCCTCGGGCACAAGCTCCTATCACGATCTCGATCGCTAATGCAATCAGGTACGGGAATGACGCATCTCGGCGAATCCTGTCGTGTCGATCCACCTGAGCTACTTTAGTTACATAACAAAACAATGACTCAGATAGTAACTACAATCAGATATAAGATATGATATCTAGAACTATCTCTCAAACGCAATTGACCTCATCTGGTCGACAACCTCCCACATACCAGTACACAACTACCACGACAACAACAGAAAAGAACCAAAAAAAAAAAAAAAAAAGATGACCACCAACCAGCCCCTAGGACCAGAAGTCCTCACTCCCCCAGCACAATCACCAACCCCCCATCCCCTTCCTGGCCGGACCATAACCCTACACCCCATCCAAGAATCCCACACTGAGGCCCTCTGGAATCTCGTCGGCGGCACCACCGACCCCCAGAAAGTCTCGGTCTGGACCTACCTGCCCGAAGGCCCTTACTCAGACAGCACATACACGGAATTCGAAGCCTCCATCCACCAAAAGACCACCAGTCAAGACCCCCTCTTCTACACGATCCTCGACAACCGCACCCAAAAGCCCCAAGGCTGGATCACGCTCATGAGCATTGTCCCAGAGCACCTCCGCCTCGAAATCGGGAACGTGCTCTTTGCCCCGGAACTACAGCGCACGACGGGTGCCACAGAGGCGGTGTATCTGTTGCTGCGGCATGCGTTTGAGGAGCTGGGGTACAGACGGGTGGAATGGAAGTGTAATGATCTGAATGAGGGGAGTAAGCGGGCGGCGAGACGGTTGGGGTTTGTTTTTGAGGGGGTGTTTAGGGAGCATATGGTTGTCAAGGGGAGGAATAGGGATACGGCGTGGTTTTCGTTGCTCAGGGCAGAGTGGGAGCAGGGGGTGAAGGAGGGGTTGGAGGGGTGGTTGCATCCGGGGAATTTTGATGAGACGGGGAAACAGAGGAGGGGGCTGGAGGGTATGAGGGAAGCGAGTTGGGGGTCCGTGTAGATAGTAGTAGATAGTTATCCAAGTCGACCTATTGTTGTTGTTGTTGTTGTTGTTGTTGTTGTTGTTGTTGTTGTGATCTAGGGCTTCGACATCCTACTCAGTATACGCGGAACCGGGGAGGATGAGAAAGAATCACCCGGGACCGCTGCTGTGGCCGGTCCCGCGATGTCGCTGAACGTTAAATATAAATAAATAAACAATCTACAAGAACACAAAGTTGCATTCCTCAGACCCACACCAGACAACATAACACAACGGCCACCGCGACCGCCTTCCTCATCCTAGACGTCCAGCAAGGAGTCACGGGCCAGATCCTCGACGACGACTCCACCCCAGAAAGAGAATCCTACATCGACCGCCTCGCCTCCGTGGTCAAAGCCGCCCGAGATAAACCCATCCGGATTATTCATGTGAAAACAGCCTTTCGTCGTGGCTTCCCTGATTTACACCTTCGCAATCCCTCGGCACAAAGAGTCATTCCAACAGGGAGATACACCGAGGGACACGAAAGCGTTGAGTTCCATCCGACAGTGGCGCCTCACGAGAATGACATTGTAACCACTAAACGTCGGGTGTCTGCCTTTGGAGGCTCCGACCTTGAGGTGGTCCTTCGCAGCTCCCACATTGAGAATCTCGTTGTGGTTGGCCTGATCACTAGCGGGGCAGTCCTGTCCACGGTTCGACAGGCAGCCGATCTGGATTATGGGTTGACGGTGCTCGAGGATCTCTGCTTGGATCGAGACCAGGAAGTGCACGACGTTCTCATGAAGAAGGTCATTGCAAAACAGGCCGATGTGGTCGGATCCGAGGAGTGGCTAGCCCGTCTGTAGGGATATGCAAGGGGTCCTCCGTGGATGGGGAAGACTTGATATCGCTTTGGTATTGCGGTAAGGGTCCTCAAGAGAGTTAACTTTGGTTCACACATTTCTAATAGCTCCTGAGATACATGGCTCGCGAATAGCATCAGCATTTCCTCTCTCATGCATAGCTAGAGCTTTACATCCCTCGCGAATATGACGCCTGTCTTCTACATTCTTTGGCTTCTCTCTTTTTATTACTCGCTCCCGATAAGTATTTGGCTCTTCTCTGAACGGTTGTGACACGCATTGGACGCTCCAACGTAAGGGGTTGCGCGTTTCCCCCCACGTGCTGTTCCAACCAGCTGCGGCCACTTTTTCATACGTTCATTGATCAGTCTGGTCCCCTTTGTTTGCCGAGTGCTCGGCATGAGGATTTTATTCTCCGTGGACTAACCTGAGACGCCACGAAATGTAAAATGACGACTCATTTCTATGAAGTTGTGTTGTGGGTTCGAGCTTGTATGGGCCATCCCTAGAAAGGGTTCATACCAAGCAGACCTTATCTGAACGGAGCCAATGGCGTTAAAGAGACTTTCACCAATCAGTCCACAGAGCTGGCGAGGTAAAAAATGCTTTTAAGCACGAAGTTTTACACTAACGCGAGCAATCCAAAGCCACAATGCCAATTGAACGTTCCCGCATTCGGGAACTTCAAACCCCCAATGTTCCACCTGTACAACCCTTAAAAGATAAGCTAGTCGCACTGGAGTTGTTGGCCAGCTTAACTTTACCAATCCAAATCTTCTTGTTCGGTAAATGAGGCCTTGAGTTGACAAATGTCTATTTTTACGGCTGTTATAGCCTTCTCCATCTGGCTCGGCCTAGTGCAGGCCAAGCTAGTCCGCGAGACACTGGAGTTCACCTGGGGCGTTGGCTCTCCCAATGGTGTCCCGCGGCAAATGGTTCTCACAAATGGAAAGTATCCAGGGCCTGATTTGATATTTGATGAGGATGACGATGTCGAGGTATCTCCAAACACGGCCAACCTGCAGATGGTAGTCGTTGACTTGGCCTAGGTGCATGTCTTCAATCACTTGCCGTTCAATACAACAGTCCACTGGCATGGCCAATCGTGAGATAGTACTATATCCACCTTCTAAATATTGACTGATTAGGGTATCATGTAGAATGGAATCCGCTCCGTGGTCCGACGGTGTTCCAGGGCTGTCACAAGCGCCCATTCAGCCAAATTCGTCTTTCGTATACAAGTTCAAAGCTTCTCCAGCAGGCACATTCTGGTTCGTGGCCTTATAATATATTCTGCCTGCACTTCTAACCTAGTGCAGGTATCATTCACACTTCAAAAATGTGATGCAGGATGGACAAGTCGGGGCTCTTTATATTCGGTAGGACTTTCGCACACTTGGCCGAGCGTAGCTCACGTTTACAGCCATAAGCCCGACGCTGCCCGGCCGTACTTGATGATAGCCAAAGATGCCACCGAAGTGGCCCAAATGCAGAATGCCGAGGCCAATTCAAACTTACTTCTAATAACCGACTGGACCCATTTTACTGCTCAGGAGTACTTTCAAGCCGAGATTGATTCAAGCATGAATCTCTTGTAAGTCCGAAGACGGCGCAGGAAATATCTGAAATTAGCCAACTAATTCACGGTGTAGCTGTGTCGACAGTATCCTTGTGAACGGCAAAGGTTCCGTTTATTGCCCGGATGCCCATTGGATGCAATCACTGGTTGGCCCCCAGATCGCCTTGGTGCTGGAAGGGACGAATCTGACCGACCGAGGGTACGTATCATAAAACAAAAAATTCAAAGAATACGTTTGCTAAGCTGCTTGTGGGCTGACTTGCGAGCAGATGCCTAGCGCCCGCCTTACACAATGTTCAGGGTAGCTGGCCAAATCAGAAGCCTAGTGCGGTCCCATCTTCAATGCACAATAACTGCACCCCGTCGGATGGTGGGGTGCCTACAATCGAAGTTGATGCTAAGGACGGATGGGCGAGTTTGAATTTCATTGGGGGACAAGCGCAGAAAGGAACCACCTTCTCGGTAGACAACCATCCAATGTGGATCTATGAGGTAGACGGTCAGTTCGTGGAGCCGCGACAATACGAGATGGTTGGGATGTACAACGGAGCTCGGTACTCAGCTCTAATCAAGCTGGATCAGACACCAGGAGATTATGCGATCCGAGTCACGGACAATGGGGGCGACCAGGTCATCAGCGGATATGCTATCCTTTCCTACCGTGCAGCAAACACGACGCAGAATGAGACTCGACCACAAGCACAAATTGGCCCTGGAACTAAGGGGTACATTGACTATGCCGGACAGAACACATCTGCTAGCGTCAGGTACCTGAACTACATAGAGAACCTCCCAGCGTTCAATGTTCCCCTGCCACCGGCATTCGCGAACCTTACCCTGAAAACCAGCATGAAACGTGTCAATAGTTCGTATCACTGGTCTATAGTGAATGGAGTCCTATACGAGCCTGAAATGACAGCAGACACACCGCTCATATTCGAGAAACAGCCACTGGATGTCATAGGATCGAATTACACGCTCCAAACACTGAACAACACCTGGGTGGACATCATTATCCAGATCATATCCAACCCAGAAATGGACCCTATCCACCCGCCCCATCCCATCCACAAGCACGGCAGCCGCGCCTATATTGTTGGGCAAGGGATGGGCGTCTTCAACTGGTCGACTGTCTACGAAGGAATGCTCGAGAGACCTGACCTGTTCTACCTCGATAAGCCCGCATTACGTGACACATTCACGACAAACACTCTCACCGCAGCCTTGGACGATGGAGTATGGATGGCGATTCGGTACTATGTCAGCGGGCCATTTCCCTCGCTGCTTCATTGTCATATCACGACGCACCAGGAAGGCGGGATGGCGTTGGCCCTTCTTGACGGTATCGATGTATGGTCTGAGCTACCTACGTCGGCAGAAGTGGTGAAGCTGCAGAATGCAGGTGAGCCTGTAGCATGATCTCTGTTTTATGCCACTTTCTACATTTGCGTGCTGGCACACTTAGCTTAAATGTAATCTTTTCTGGTTATGATCGCACACGGAGTATTTTGTTTGCTTTGGTTCTTACTATAGTATAGTTACTGTGCACTCTTCCACTATTACCATTTAGGCTGGAGACTCTTGTGATCCACTAATATTGCAATATTCCGTAGCTGGCTATAGAACCATGATAAGTGTAATCAAGAGAGATAGACCGAACGCTTAATTCCCTAGAGAACTAAACAAGAGCACTCTGCATCAAACAAAATCAATAGCCACAAAAACGGAATTCTCTCGCGGATATTCTGACATTGAACAAATGGCCTGATAAACAGGTTACAGAATCGTCAGGGAGATATTCTTGGAGATATATTGAGATGTATGACTATGACAGCATATAGCTTTGTCTAATGGGGGCTGTTTCCAACATGATGTCTAAGGACTCGGGTATTGCTGTATACTGATTCACCCTGCATGTATAGGAGATCGGTGTTGTGCATGGATAGTAATGCAACCTCCTCTTCGCTAACACTGACATCTAGATGTGTGGTACATTACCATGGCAGATATCTAAAGCTATTTGAAACGCGGTCGTGGAATCCCCAGATTGTGCAACGAAGGCTTGGCTTTGGATCTTCCCTGGAAGAAATACGAAACTGGGTTGTATGATAGTAGTTTGGACAATTCACAATTCAATAGCTACTGTTAATGTGTATATATATGTGTGTGTGCCAGATAATTATTCCAGGTGCATGTATATATGAGCGATAAGAGGAAAGTTATGACAACGGTATCTGTCAAGGAATAGACGGCAGCCGAGGGTTTAGGTTCTATCTAGAATGCTTAAAGAATAGGAGCAGCAGGGATACTAATTCATCTACAGTAGACAAGAAGGCATAGAGTGCTAGAGCCAGGGTATATGCTCTGTGCGGTGCCTTTCTTGAATCTTCCATCACAGGAAGAACAGAGTGCGTATGCACGGACACAATGGTATCATGTAAACACCTAGCTTTCGGGTATCTAATCGGCCACCGAGTAGACTATCTCTGAAACATCAATAGCTGCGGATCGGTACGAGTCTGGTCGACTAATCCTATGACTCTGGTCGTGATCGAAGCCTGACAAAGGCCCCTGCTCGGTGGCCGATTAGTCCTAAAACAGGGTCAGTGATATCTGGATCTCGAAGGTATTAAACCGTCCTTAGGTTCTTGTTAATGTCCTTCTCCTCGAGTATCCTCACCTCTGCTTAGCCCATAGTTCCTTCTTCACCCTCCATCCCAAAGACAGACACTACCCCCGAAAGCAAAATGTTCAATCTTGGAACCGCCATCGTGACTGCTCTGGGCCTCCTGATGGCAGGAGTAGCCAGCGGAGCTCCCGCCGAACCCGCGCCTATGATGGACGATCCTACTGTAAGTGAAACCACGAGTGATGGATAACCTTACCAAACTGCCCGTGAAACGCCCTAACCAAGCCACATCTAATGAGCCAACCTCCAGGTCACCATCTACCAGGACATGATGTACCAAGGCAACTCCGAGGGTCTCCGTGAGGCCAATGTCTGCTACTCATTCCGAGAGAATACTCCGTGGTACGTACTATATCTGTCTTATAAGTGATATCGTTCTAAAGAGAAGCAAAGGTTCCACAATATTTCCTCCATGAATATCCGTCCCGGGTATACCTGTGACGCCTACATTGGGTTCGACTGCAACCAGATGCTTAGGCCAGGTATGCAGGGCCAATACGCTAACCTTGATTTCGAAAATATGAATAATATGATCGAGAGTATGAAGTGCAGGCCTATGTAGGCTTGCTTGTCTTGGGGGGGAAGGGGCGACACTTCGATGGGCATCTGTCAGGTGATTGTGTGGGTCATCTTGGACATTACTTTCTTTTATAAGGCTCATGAGTGGTCTCTGTCTGGTTTGATGATGTGGTTGGATGTTGAGGTCTTCGTTGTTGTTAGTTTGAATAGTAACGAGTGCAGATGAATCGAGTACTTTCGATTGGACTGTGAATTGAGGTTTGGTTCTACTAATTATCTTGGGGATATTGGAGAGGTCCTGATGGGATCGTACGTAAAACTCATGGACTTGCTCTCTATAACCCTCAATACTCGGCCTTGTATACTGATCTACGTAAGTGAGCGAAGAGTGACAAGGGAAGTGTAAGTGTACCTATACTGGAGGACGAGTACATCCTATGAAAGATGCTGCACGCATATACTACCAAGCCCAACCGTTGTTCCATCATGGTCTTGTTGACTTTAGTCAAGCACACCATTATGAACATTGCAAGCACAGCGGAAGGAATCCACAAAGGAAATAATCAACTGACTCAAGTGTACAACGTAGCATTTCCTAACGCGAGCACGAGTTGGTGATTCCCATTCAGAAAATACACCAGGTAATTCTATAGCAGCCTAACTCCTGATTACTATTACTGCGGTAGTCAGCAGACCCAGAGGCTGGCAGCTTCTATAATCCACTTGATAACCTCATTCACACCTTCGATATATAACAGCTAAATGACCCGCACTTATCCATAAAGCAGCAAGTAGAGTACCTATATGAAGACCTGGCCAGACCGGCCTGACATCTACCGTACCAGTTGGTTTTGAGATGCAGGTGTGTCCGGGATCATGGCCAATGGCCGAACAATCACACAGTTGTGGCGCCGTCGGACGGATAACGACGTAAGGAATCGGACCTTATAATAACCTCCCACCGGTAGCCACCGAAGGATTAAATGACCTCGTGTCCTCTGAATGTGTCAGTTGCAAAGTCAGGGTATTTCGATTCCGTCGCCGAAACGTCATCAGAACTCGTCAAAGTCGCTATTATCGGCGCGGGTATGTTACACCATCTCCATAACATGCTTTCGAGAGTCTAATCCACATGAAGGATGGCTTGGACTCAAAGCGGCCAGAATATACCCTGGCTTGGAGCCGAATACTAAACCTAGCTGTGTTTGAGGGGGACTATACAGAGAACAATCACTTGACAGGTTTAATTAAATCATCTATCCATGTACAGTCCCGCAGTGATCTTGAATATTCACTAGTTCTGTACTTATGGTATAGTTAAGTGATGATCCTCAATCCAGGCTAGCAATCCTTGAACTGTCTAGGGATAGGAAGGCATGTATTAACACTGAGATATCTCACCAGAATCTGCGAAGGATAGCGGAGAAGCCAACATCCCGACCAAGCAATGAAAGAGCCATGGCAGGGAAACAGGACCGTAGCAAGTGAAGGCAAAAAGACAACGCAGCACAGGAAGAGAGAGCGTCGTCGCCGCCAAAGACATTTCATCCCGCGTCGCTGGCTAAAGTTACCAGTTCATATGGCACCAGCTATAACAGCATAGACGATAGTATAAACTATAAATCCAAGAGTTGTGTGTTTAGTTTCTTCATGGACTTCTCTGGCCAATCAAAGGAGGTAAGCATCATCCGTTGGGTAAATATCACTCGATACTTACTCAGGAAGCTCATATCCATGCTAGAGTAGTCACCATCTAATATCTAGTGGTACTTCTCGTCTTTTCTGAGGATAGATCCTCCCATTCACTAGTCTTTGCTGCCTATAGAGTAGATATAAGGGGTTATGCCGCTATACCCGGCGAGCTTGCGTGCAGTCTGTGTGCCCCGTGGCTGGCATCTCTGGATGCCAAAGAATTGGCTCGGTATAGTTAGCCTGTGTGGTGTCGATGGTACACTGTCCGATGCTGCAGATCGACCCATCTGGGCCCCTTTTATTAAAGCCTGAAGCTGAACGCTACACATTTCCGCGTTTCTGCTGGCATCATTGACCCTGGTAGCGATTGATGGAGCTCCATACCACATTTTGAGCGGGACGCGTGAACTCGGCGATGAATGCCCATCTCCTGATCTTGGTGAGGACGAGGACGGAGGGTGCAATGATGGGGACTTACGTACGATGATTGATTAGCGAAAACTGGCTATAGTATAATATACAGGTACTCACTTGGGGTCTCCTCAACACGTCGGGGCAGTTCCTCGGCTCGTTCCAGCCAAAGTCCTGAGGGGAAGCTCCTCGCCGTGGAAGTAATTCCTCAAGGAAATCAGCCGACAAAATGCCGCTAGCCACTGATTCAAGATCCATTGACAGCAAGGTCTCAATGGAATCTTCTACCCAGTCTAGGTGATGGCAGATATTGCCTGGGGCATGTTGAGATTTAAACGTGGCTCTGGGAGTGAGGGACTATTTTAAGATGGAGTATAGGGTTAGGACGTTGCCTGATACAGGTTGGTCAAGCTCTGTATGGAAGCCATTAAAAGTTGAACCAACTGTATTCCCCAATCCTAACGTTGGGCTTCACATAATCCAGTAATATTATCTCCACTACCTGACCATCATTGGTGTTTTTCCATGTGTGTAGTGAATATTTATAGGCTATTACGGAAGCTTGCTTAGAGATACTAGCGACATGGACGATTGCAGCATCGTCCTACGCTGGAGAAGCTGAAACGGAACACGCTCATTCCATGGTTTATAAATGGGTTAGGACATATGATCTACCTTCACTGGCTTGTCATCCTCAAGGAGCTGTGCTACGCAAGGTGATGTTGTCCTTTATTAGGTATCACTGAGCATTATGCAGTGATCGTGAGAGAAGATCATTGAAAAGACCCAGCCAGGATGGCCCTCCAATGCCTGTAAGTGCGTGCAAGTGGTGTGATTTGGCATGGGATTCCACTGATTTCAAAGTAGAAGTCAAAGCAGTGAAGAATAGCTTAAATTAAATCATCTGCTCGCGGTCATTCCGTATACAAAGCGACAATCGAAGCAGACAAACACTATTCAATGTCGCCATGAATGATGCTAAACATTATAAGTAAATCCGACCAAGTCCATCACTTCACACCCTCACTTCCTCCGCAAAATCAACCAGCAGACGATTCACCACCTCTGGCTGCTCCAGCTGCACCCAATGCCCAGCATCAATCTCCTCAATCCTCCCACCAGGAGCCACCGTTCGCGAAGAAGCACTCTGCAAATCCGCCCGACAGACATAATCGTACTTCGCCGCTACGAACAAGTTCGGCAACGGACACAGCTTCTCTTCCTCCAGAATAGCAGCCTCATCGTCAGCATCAACACCCCGCATGGCTGCCTTATACCACGAAAGGGGCCCGGCATAGCCGCCCTCGGCGAAGATACGACTGTGAACGGCATACTCTTCGGCGGAAAACCAGGGAGGGAGGGGAGTGGTGCGTCCAGAGCGGACAAATTCGGCTGCTTTCCCTGTAGGGGCGAAGTCGGATATCCAAAGAGAGGGATCGTTGGGATAGAGGAGGCTGAATACGGAGGCGGGCTATGTTGTGTTTGGGTTTGTTAGTTGGGGTTGAATATATTCGGGGGGAGTTAGTTGACGGGTACTTACATGGTTGGCGCAGTCTTCCGCCGCCTCGTCGGTGCTGTGCCATTTCCAGTAGCCGAAGGTTTCGTAGCCGATTATGCTTTTGGTCTTCTCGCAGATGGAGTCTGCGGTCGTTAATTGGGGGTCAATGGATATGGGGATCAGGGGACAGACCGACGTCCCAGTCCATGCCGGGCGGAATGTATGCGACGGCGATTGTGACTAGACCGTAGAATCGATCGTGGTGGTACGTTGCTAGACGGGATGCGAGGCCAACTCCCCTGTTCATGTTTTATTTCATTAGTTGGAGTACAATTGGCGCGAGATACCAGCCTCGGTAGTGATGTTGTATGGCATTTTGTGGACAAGGATATACGAAATATGGGAGAAATCGCAAGAGAAGCGCAGGCTTGCGTACCAATCGTGCCCCACCATGACTGCTTTATCTATGCCCTCTCTATCCAGTATCTCAATAATATGTTTGCTCATGGTTTTATTGCGATAAGCGCTCAGATCACTGGGCTTGTCTGTATCGCCGTATCCGAGAAGGTCCGGCGCAATGACACCATATCCGGCATCCTGCAAACCAAGTATCTGGTGACGCCAGTCATACGACGAAGACGGATATCCATGGAGAAGGAGGAAGGAGACCTGGCCTGGGGTCGAAGGAGGAACGGCGACATAGCCGTACGTTGTGCCGTCGGAGAGCTGGACTTTTTTTGCTAAGGAGGGAAATGCCGTAGACGCCATGATTTGATTCTGTACAATCGATGTGGTGCTGTGAGAATTGGCTAAATTGCTGGGCAGACCTTACCCATGATATATATTCAGAACATTCCAGCCAAGGATGGCATTGGACGCAAAGCTCGGATCGAGGAGCGGGCCTAGGTCCATACTAGTCTGCTGCTCTCTCCGACACAGCCCCGCGGGGTAGAAAGATTGGCAAGACCGGAATATATGCAACTAACTGGAGCAATGTGATTCCACTCGGATGTTTACATTTCACTACCCAGCTGCTGGCCAGTGGGATCTCTAGGTACTAGCATGTGATATGATTCTGTCAGATACCTGCACGAATTTAATGTCCTCGGAAGATTTATCCGCTGAAGCAGCACGGATCTAAGTCCCTATTGCGTAGAAAAAGCTCCTGCGAGGCTGCGACTCAATCTGCCTTGCGCTTGACGAATGTGGGGCATACCGGTGCTTTCTGTGGAGGACCGCGTATATGCACGGTAGTCTATACTCGAAAGAATAATACATGTGCCAAAATTAGATATTATTAAGCTCTGAGCTGCATTTTGGTACTTTCCGTTAAGTATAGATATGGTGTCCTCCTTCACCTGACGCCGGTGCTGGAAGACAACAGTCTTGAATGCCAATGAGCCCCGGATGAAGCTCAGTATAGCTGCACTGCGTACAGCAGAAAAGTAGTAATCTTCAGGATCAATTGTGAATTGTCCGAGAACGTCTGTACGACGATATGACGATCCAACTCTTCTCTATTTCCTTTCCTTGTGCTATGTCTCTTCCGATCTTCATTCTTCAGTAGAAAGGTTATGCTGCAAGGACCGTCATTACTGCACTACACACCACCTCTTTTCTCTGTCTCCGATGTCATCCCACCTCGGACTATGTGCTGTAACCCAGTTGCTACTTCGATACAGCGATTGTGCGGGCTAGTTGCAAATCATCCTACTGTCCGAAGCTGGATAGGAGCGATATCGGTTTTGCTTCATGGTTTTGCTCTACTAGTCGAGTGCAATAGGTGGACAACCTGTGCAAGCAAGATCACTTGTCCAGCTTTGAAAGCAACAGGCAGGATAGGTGATACCGTGCGGGCAGCGCCCTTCGCTTATTGCCAAGTTAGCTCGGTTCGTCGACGAGGAGATTGAAGTCAAAATGCAGAGAAGCATAGCGAATGAATGGGCCAGCGGCAGTTATGGAGGCGAAACAAGCCATAAAACAAGTACTAGAATATCCCTGCTTATGAAACACTGCCAAAGGGTCCACATTGCCAGGCCTCGTCAGGGCTGCCGAGGTAGACAATCAATCAATCAATCAATCAGCCACCCCGAAGAACCCTAACAAACCAATTTCCGACCAATACAATCGCAACTGGCATTCACAATGGGTAAAAGTCATTTCTGCCCTTGTTCACTCAGACTTAACAATTTCGTTGTCAAATGATTCAGTCCCCCAATTCAACCAAAGTGGCTCCGTCGAGGTACAGCGAAGCAAGACGGAGCCAACATACGTGTCGGTGCGGATCACCAATGATCGCGCTGTGGGGCGCCCAATTAATCCCAGGATAGCTCACTTGGGCTCTATATTATGGAGCGTCCGTCTGGACGCAGAAGGGAAATTAAAACATGACATAATCCCAGTTGGCTTTCGTGGTGCGTCTCACCATGGCTCTAGGTGAGTTTTCTACTTCCAAGATGCTGGGATGCTGGTCACGTTCACTCACACGCTTCCTGCTTAGAACCGACCAAAGCTTTCGCGATAGAGTAAGTAGCGCCCGAGCTGGGCACTAGTTTGAGCAATTCCCGGACGATCTATTCACCGCTGGAAGGATTTGGGCGAGAAAACCGCGACCGGTCCGTCAACGTAGCGGACATACACCGGCGACGTGATGCTATTCGAGCAACGGAAGAAGAAGATATTGGAGTTCGCGGAGCAAACCAACGACGCTCTGAAGACCATCCAAGAGGTCGGCCAGAAACTCAATGTCACCAGCGATACCGTGAAAAAGGTCATCGAGACGATCAAAATCGCCGCGAACTCGTTCGGCGACAAAGCCGTCTATGCATCCGCGTTCACCGGCACCGTGGGGGCAGTCGGCATCGCCGCCAACATGATCGCAACGTATCAAGGCGTGGGCGAGCTGCGGGCGATCGCAGGACACCTGAAGAGTATGAGCGAGACACAAAGAGCCGAGCTTGCGCTCGCAGGGGGGACCGCCTTCGCCGAGAATATCTATGTGATGCTGAAGTCGAAGATCGAAAAGTCGGACCCTGAGCTCGACTGGTATTTCGTCTACCATCCGGACACAGACTGGACGTATCATTTCGAGGAGAAGCTGCGGACCAAGGGTCTTTTGGGTCGGAATTTCATCGGCATTGTGCATGACCTCGATGCCCTGGTCGCTTTCATGTCGTCCGTCCGAGATGTTTCCGCCACGCGACATCCACGGCGGAGACCACCTTTCTTCCACTTGGTCATTCCAGCCTACGAGCCAATTGTCATCCCCACGCCACTGCTGATTCCGGAGAAACTGCATCCATTCCGGATCGAGGGCGATATTCACCGCGGAACATATCTAGTCTGGATGAATCTCCCGGGGGTGGACGAGAAGGCCGTTCAGAACATCGGGGTATTCCAACCGCCACGGTCGATATGGGACAACATCATGCTCCAAGGTAACTCTGCCTACACCCCAAGATGAATGCTGTATTTTCATCTGCCAGAAGAATACCAGCTAACTAGTACCTACCAGTCGGTCTCGTGCAAAACCCACCTCCCCGGTTCCTCGGCGCCAGTGCCCAGAAGATCGAACAGCCCCAGGTTCCTCAACTTCCCGCGCCAGCACCCGTTGCAGCTATCACAGCGCCCGAGCCAGAAAAGGGCGAGATCTCGTCGCTGAAAGCCAGTCGTGGATCTATTCGCCGTGCACAAACGTATCAGGATAGCGAGACGGGATCGACACACAGTTCCCGATCGCATTCTCACCGCAGACGCAGGCGACATCGGTCGAACAGTGTGAGCTATATATTCACCTGAGGCCTTTTTCTATTTTTTTTTTTGGTGTTATGTTTGGGCATGGGTTGTCATATTCATATAAATCATACTCGCCCTTGAGACGGTTGGAGGATATTTGCTGGTGTTTGCTGCAGGATACTGGGCGTGTCTAAGCCATGAATGTATTGAACTATGTTTTACAACTAATTTTTCCAAATTCTCAACAAGTTATTTCTGTAGCATTTGCTCGATTAGCCTCAAAATGACACATAGAATGGTCGATGAGACGCAAGTCGGGAGCGAAGACGGGCCTTCGAACTGAGCGCAACGAGAACGAAACAAGCGGTCTAGAATGACTCCAAACAAAACCTGTCTTCCCCGATTAGTTTTATTGTATTCTATTTTTCTGTTCATGCTTCGAGACCCTTTGAATACATGCATAAATAATACTAAACACACCCTAACGTCAAATGCGGGGAATTCCGTTCCCACAACCCAAACCCAAACCCAAACCCTCTCAGCGAAATTCAACCCCAAGTTCCAACCAAGCACACCAACCTGCCAATACTAAAAACGTACCTGATTAAATCCCCTAAATCCAAGATCCAAGAACCCACTATCCCACTACTAAAAAAGTAAACAAGTCCAGAGGTATCCTGCAACTCCGCCAGACGAACTCACCGCCCAATCAGCGCCCCCACCCCCAGCGGGCGAGGCCCACAAGCCCTAAAGGCATCCTCGCATGCATAACAACAAGACTGACGTGGTTCGGATGGCGCCCAACGTGTCTTGCGGATCCCATTCGACGCATCGCCCCGATAGAGATAGCGTGACTGGACAGCTCACACCTGCATTGATCCCTGACTTGAATTCGAGACGTTGGCTTCGATGCCTTGGAAGAAAAAGAATGAGGAATTGCATGGGGGGCAGTGTTTAAAGAGGGGATTTCTCTGGCTGGGTGGGGTAAATTCTCCGGGTTGTTTTTTTTGTTTTGTTTTTGGTTCTGGGACTGGTGCTGTGTGGATTCGTTTAGAGATTGTGTCTGTTTTTAAAGAGTAAAAGAGAGAAGAAGAAGAAAAAGAAGAAGAAGAAGAGTAAAGGGCAACCATGCATCTAGACCCCATCGAAGAGACGTCGTACATGGACGGCGAGGTTAGGGAGTATCCGCAGCCGACGGCAAGGTTCGACCAAACCCTCATTCTTACTTAGTTTTGGGAGCAAGAGCTATGGCGAACACCACCAACTGACGACTCAACCCCAGCCCCTACAAAGCCCCGGTCGTCACTCTCATCATCGGCCGAGACGAATACATCATCCCGGAATTCTACCTGCGGCAATTCCCCCAGCTGCGCAGAAGTCCCAAGGCCTTCGAGCAGGGCTACAACCCCAGCTTGAAGTTCGTCTCGACTCTCGACGTCGACGAGGACATCGGCCACACCCTCGTCCACTACCTGTACACTGGCGAATACGAGACTCTCCGCGACGGTCCGGACCCCAGCATCCCCCGGCGAACGATAGAATACAGACGGAGCGCATTTGCCTACCTGGCCGCGAGGAAATATGGTCTCGGTGGACTGGAGGCTCACGCGAAGCATTACATCGAAGTGTTCGACCGCGATGTGCCCACGCCGGACATTCTGCGGATCGCACGGAGCATCTACTCCAAGCTGCCGCGGGACGAGACGTGGTTCCAGGATTACATCCGGGTGAAGATGGAGGACGAGTTCGAGACGGACGAAGCGGTGTTCAAGCGGGAGTGGTTTCTGAATGGGATTGGACGGGACGCGTCGTTTGACCGGCTACTGGTGCAGATTATGGCGGAGATATACTCGGAGAAGTTGGCGGCGGTGAATTTCCGGAGACTCGAGAACGGGCGACAGATTGTTCATTCGATGGCGAATGGCGATTCGGTGCGGATTGTCGAGGAGACGATTCCCGAGGTGCCGGAGGAAGAGCCTGCGTTCGAGGATGTCGTGCCGGAGGTCGAGCCCGGCAATGCATATGACGGGTCCACGGAGGACGAAGGCACCGGTGCGTACAGTGGGAAACGACACCAGCAGCCGGAGTCAGAGCCTGTCAGCGAGGACTGGCCGCTCACTCCGTCGCCGCCGCCCTCGGCTTCTTCGCCGCATCCTACCGACGAGACCATCGCCGTCAATGAGCAGCCTTCCTTTCCGAAACCTGAGCCCCAAACGCAGCCCGAGCCCCACGAAGAGCGCAAAGATGACAGTTGGGAGGGCGCCTGGGCTCCGCTCCGGAAACGGGATAAGAAGAAGAAGAAAAACAAGAAGCTCCAGATCATCGAGCCGGAGGCTGAACCCAGAGCGGACGCCCAGAAAGAAAGGTGGCCGGAGGTTCGCCACGTTACGTCTGATGAGTCGTATGGTTTTGGGCCGCCGACGCCCTTGAGTCCGGTTTATGAAGAGGAGGCTCCTCTGCCTTTGAGGCCAGCTTCGGCGTCTCTTCTGGAGGGGCCGAGTTATTGACATCCGGGGTGATATATTCAGATTGTACATATGTTTAGAACATTTCCTTTCTTTCTTGTCTCTTGAGTGCATTTCTCGGATATGGTTTGCAAAAGGTTGCCTGGTATTACAAAGATTGAGCATAGCTTCAGACTGAAATCTAGATTTCCTGTTCTACTATCTGGTCCAGGGCTCAGAGTGGAGCTTCTATGATAAAACTGTAGTGATACCAGTTGAGACTGCTGTGGCTGGGTATATATCACTGATAAAGAGCACGTACCCGAATACTACTGGTGTTTAGATGTAAAGAAACTTATCAGAGGAGCCAGATATCATGAGAGTCTATATGCTATGCTATAACGTTCCGGATGCCAAAATATATATTCTATAACAATGTACAAAAAGGATCTCCATTCTAGAAGAAGTTTCGCCTTCCCATCCACACCAAACCATGCAACAGCGCACCAACAAGACAACAGATAACCAAAATAGTCAATTCAAGCGATTTCACCTCCCGAACAATGCAGCTTCAGTATCATAGGTATACTGCAGATCAAGATGCCAGTAATTCGCCGAGACAGGCTTCACACACATCCACGCTTCGTCCAAGGCATCGACCAACTCATCCGGAAGAGGACCCTGCTGCAGCGCTTTCAAGTTCTGCTGCAATTGGCCAAAGCTGCTCACACCGATCAGAATACCGTCCTTGCCGTCTCCGTCGAGGCGCAACTGGGAATGGTGACAAAGCCATCGAAAGGCGACATCGGACAAAGTGAGGCTATGCTTCTCAGCCATGGGTTTGATGATATCCAGTGCATTGAGCACGGAGTCATTGAGGTATCGCTGACGGTACAAAGCTCCGGTCGTGTTCTTGTCACTGAAGCGGCCGTCCTCCGGTACTGCAGCGCCGGCTTGATACTTCCCGGAGAGTATCCCCCCGGCTAGCGGGTTGTAGACGACGATTTCGAGCCCATAGCGACGACAGCAGGGGATCAATTCCGTTTCGATGTTGCGGGCTGTTCCAAGTCAGCAAATATCAAAGCCCACAATAAATCGCGATCATCCACTCACTTATCGCATTGTACATAGCCTGATAGATTGTCGGCCGCACCCAACCTCTCTCCGTACACAGGATGACAATCTCCGCAACCTCGAACGCGGTATAGTTACTCAGCCCCAAGCGCTTGAACTTCCCCTCCCGATAGAGCTCATTCGCAGCCTCAAGGGTCTCCGCAAACGGGACCGACCGGTCTGCCGCATGCAGGTAGAAGATATCCACTTGGTCGGTCTGAAGAGCGGATAACGACTCATGGAACTTCCTGCGTAGAGAGGCCGGCTTGTGAACCCCAGGTTGAGTCGGATACACCTTGGTCGCGAGGCTGAGGCCGCGTTCCTTCCACCCAACTGCGGCGGTGAATTCCTCTTGTTTCTCGCCGAGGTACATGCGCGCCGTGTCAACCTCGTTGTATCCCTGGGACTTGAGGTAATCGAGGCATTGGCCGAATTCATCGAGAGAGGTGATTCGCGCGCCCTTGTTGACATCAGGGCCAAATGTCATCAGTCCTAGAATAACGCGCGGGTGGGATGTGGATTCGGATGCCATGGCTTGTAATATGGGAAGAGCTAGCTGGGTTGAGTGATGATGAATCTTGTTAATGACGGGATGATAGTTACGGATTGTCTACTGGCGGCATCCAGGTGTAAATACGATTCTGGACGGCAAGATACCATACGGAAATTGTGGAACCTGTCTCCCTAAAAAGTCGTCCTTGTGGAGCTATACTCAGCATGATGTGTGATTGCCTACGCGTTAGGCTTCTGAGAGAAGACCAGAACTTTGAGCGGACTAGATGCGGAGCGGAGCGGAGCGGGACGGAGGAGCCGGATCGGACACGGTTTATAGGGTCCCGCATTATGCCGCCATTCAGTACCTTACTTGCTGTTGGAAACGGCCTAGATCGACATGCCGTATCCCGAGGCGGAGTTTGCAGATGGTTGTCCAATCTGGCATCCTGGGGTGATTCTAGATTGCCTCGCCGAGTGCGCTGAATACCATTACACGAAGTGGCAAACAATGGAAAGGTAGAGACTGCGTGTGTGTAGCTCGCCGTAAATATTCCGGATGATGCAGGAGAAGGGGTTGGCGCTAAAGCCTTGCCATACAGGAGTATGTGAACTGGAGGGATCTTGTCAAGGCATACATATTTCGACGCATAGTGAAGGCAACATCTACGGTTCATCACGATTATCATGTCCGTCAAGTGGAGGAGTGTGATTTTCAGTATAAAAAGGGAGAATCCCCCAGTAATATGACAAGCATAGTCATTCATCCCCAAGGAGTAAAGAGGCTCGATGATAATAGATAATCTATATCCCAAGATTCTCCCATGACATCATTCGACATATCGACCGGCTGAGATACAAAGGCAGTTGGGGGACTGGGCTGCAGTGCACTGGGGTCACCCTCCCACGCCCTAATATCTTCCTCCACCCGGTTTAATAACTCATAATCCTCCTTTTTCCGCCTCATATGAATCCGTATAAGGGAATGGGCGGTCACAAAGGTCTCGTTGATGGCACTCGTGCCATAGATACGTGCAATCAATCGCAACGTAGAGAGTGTCTTCCCTATACGCTCAAGTGAAGCTCTAGTATCAATTGCAAGCAAGACACAAATTATCTGGAAAGGCACATTCACAATATGCCACCACGGGGAGTGCCTCCTGGCCATTTCAGTTGCTTTGTCAATGCCCATATCTGCCAGATACAAGACTTGAGATAAAGCCTTGCTGGACACAACACGACCGGATACACGAAGTCTGCGATATATACACAATGCAATATTGCACCGCTTGAGTTCCAAGGCCGGATGGGAGAGTGTCAGTTCGGAAGCTTGGAGTAGTAGGTTCTCTAGTTCTGTCGAGTCAAGATGTCGATCGGGGTCCAGGGAGTCTGTCAATCGCCAGATAGCGATGTTGTCTGCTGTCCAGTCCTCGGCGGGAAGGGAGCAGGACGCACCGCGAGGTATTATACGACACCGTCCGTAGTCGTAGGATATCCATGTATTGAAGAGTTGCGCGATATAATAGATTCGTTTTCTCAGTTGCGGACTGTAGGAACTATCCGCAGCCGAAAGAGGACCGGCATTTGATGGTTCGAGATGTAGCCTGGCTGTTTCAATCATATGCATCACCGTGCAGCTGGCGATCCATGTCGCGTTTGGTGAGCCGGTCAATCGTAGGTAGATGACGCGGAGTAACCATCCGACTATATGATCCACGGTCGGTAATTGTAGCGTAGTCGAATGCTCCAGAGCGGCTCGAGCATACTGCACAATCCGGGATTCTAGATCATTTGGCTGATCGCTGAAGAGGCATGCTAGGGCAGCGATTCCCAGAAGCACGTGGTGGGCAGGGTCAAATAGAGGCTGATCAGGTGACATGGAAAGAATGGCACGCTCAACCATCGCATGATCGAGGAAGTGGTACACGGGATGAACTTCTGCAAAGTATACAGCTGCCAGCTGCTGCATACGAGGGATACTCAAGACTTGGGTGAGCGGTGCTTCTGCGTAGCAGCCTATGGTACTGTCTCGCAGGCTGAGGTTCCACGAGCAAAGACGAGGTTTTTCAGCAGAGGAAGAGCTGGTTGAGAGGCCCAGCCCCTTCGCGAGGAGGGCCCCAGAGTTTATTTCGGCGAGTCCCCCTGTACGTGGCACAGCTGGGTCCGCCTGGAGATCATCGCGTGCTTGTTCAGCCGGAGCGGTGATCGAACGGCGTCGCTTGCGAGAAGGTTTGTTGTATAAGCAGTCTTGGTCTGTTTTTACACAATTAGAGCACGGATGCTGACCGTCGCATTTGCGCTTCATGCTCCTGCAGGACGAACAGGCGTGTTTAGTTTTAGTCGACATTGTTTGCTCTAACTGAGTGATATGAGGCAGTAATATGAGAGGCCGTCAAGGACGATTAGCAGAGATAAATGCTGCAAGGTCCGGGTGAAACACGGATCCTTTTAAGCCCGGCCAAATATACAATCAAGTCAGTGTGGCCGAGTGGTTAAGGCGATTGACTCGAACTTTCTACGGAACATATTCGATATCAATTCCATTCGTGGGCACAGGTTCGAATCCTGTCGCTGACGATTTTTGTCTCCTGGACACAACTGTGTGCAGTCTCTCGCCATGATGGAGTGGGTCCATATAATTAGTATGGTCCTACTCCGTGCACATACTCTTTTTGAATGTCCTACTGCATGGGAAATGTTCCTCATTGGGCCTCCACACTACAACTTCTGCGAACCAATACTGTTTAGAACATATCATTATAGACTCCAAATCTTGTGGTTCGACACCGTATACCTCCGCCGCTAGAGGTAAGCCCTTACATTCTAAAATCGATCCAATATGCAGACCTCTAAACCTTACCAGAGTCCATCACATCATGTAAAGCCTGATTGATACAGCTGACACCTCTGATGAAGCTCCTTAGCATCAACAGTTTGAAACAATCCCTGGGTCACGCCATCTCCTTCAGTCTTCGGTCCATCACCAAAGATCCCAACCTGCGGGACCGTCTCCCAGCCGGGTCCGGCAGACGGACTTTTCGCGAAGCCAGCCCACGTCTTCTGTATCACCTGGCTTAATTCCTTCTGAACCTTCGTGGCCCCCTCCTGCGCGTATGTGCCGAAGACCAGATCGATCTCCGCCGCGTGAAAGGCCCCGCTACCAGCTAGTGGATTGGTATTCGGAAAGGTGGCATTAAAGTAGTACAGCCAAGTACCAATGTCTGCAGACGCGCTGTCATTAGCGACGCGCTGTGCTGGGCACTGAAATCCCATTTCAGTAAGAATCTTCGCTACACGATCGCGCTCAGTTTTAACCCCCGGAGTGCCCAGTGGATATTCTTTCAGGATAGCTTGAAGCCGAGCCGTGTTATTGCCCAGGATTCCACTGAGAAAGACGCGTGCTTCGGCCGCATTCTGTCCAGCGACAATTGTCTGGCATTCGTCAGCATTGCTCCCGATCAGTAAAGGCACACGGGCGATCTTAGACGAGTCATTCGTGGAGTTCAGACGGTTCTGATGTGGGTTCTTTGGCCAGGTGATTCCATCGGGAATCGGGGTGAAGGTGAGCATTTTTCGTTCAGCGATCTCTTTAAGTCGCTTCGCGGGGATGGCGCGAACACATTCAAGCTCATTCTTGTTCTGGCAGTTGGTAGCGTTCACCAGAGCTTTCCAATCGGACCCAGCCATGAACGCCAGTAGCGTTGCTTCACCGGATTCCATGATGGCAGCGCGGAATGGAACAGGGTCTGGAGGACTTGTAATGAGAGCGTCCACGCTCATGGACCCTGCGCTTTGGCCTACAATGGTGACTTTGCTGGGGTCTCCGCCAAAGGCCGCAATGTTTCGCTGGACCCAGTCCAGGGCAAGACGTTGGTCGAGTAAGCTTATACTTCGTCAGTAGTGGACTGTATTCGCTGATAGTGTATTGCCTCCGACTCACCCGAGATTCCATTGTGATGGAGGTAGATCAGGAGAGCCCGGGAAGCCAAAGACATTGGTGCGATAGTTGCTGGTGACGACCACAACGTCCTGGTTCGCCGCAAGGCTGGTGCCATCATAACTGGGCAGGGAACTCGCTCCAAACGAAAAACTACCGCCGTAGATCCAGAAGAGGACAGCCTTGGAGGTCTCTGGTGCTGCCTGCGGGGTAAAGATATTCAGGTGGAGACAATCTTCACTCTCCTCGCCGCCCCGAGGCGGAGGCGTGTTGGATACCCCGATTGTCCGGTTCCGTGAGGCCTCTGGGTATATAAACTGTTGGATACAATCGGATTTATACTTGGATGCATCGTAGACCGAAGACCACGGTGCAGGAGGCTTTGGAGGACTGAAGCGCACGGGAGGGGCACCAAAGGGAATACCAAGGAATTGGTTCACTGTAACAGTGGAGGATGAAATGGATGTTGTGGTTCCGGCGACTACACCTGCATCAATAGTCACCGTGGGGTGACTGTGCGTTTGATTGACCGGTGATGAGAGGCTATACTCGCGAGAAGGCCGAGGGAAAACAGCGTCGAAGCTACCATGGTGGATTACAAACTGCTCACACCAACCAAGTCGGACCATATTTACAATCAAACACCCGCCAAAATGTGACGATAGATACTAAATATATGTCCACAGGGGATTGCCAGGCGGCCCAGAAGTAGATGATCTCATTAGCTTTCTTGCCCCACCGGTATCTCATGGTCCGTGTCCATCTGTACCGCATATGCCGCTTTACCTTCGCAGGACTTGGCGGCAGATGTATCTGATCGTTGCTATTCGATCCATATGTTTTATACGCTTTGTGTGTAACTGTTGGCCAGCTCAGTCTTGTTAATCCAGTCATGGCAAGCAGCAAGCTCTATCAAGGGCACCCACAGGCCATTCTTGGCAGACGAAATCTTGACCCACTATGAACCTTTTCTACTTTTAAATTTGTTCGGAAACCCACTTTCGAGGCAGGAGGGCACAGTCCATTACTCATAATCTCAATAATCCCACTCTTCCCGCCCCCAGTAGAGTCCGATGGTGCATCTCCTCGGCAAAGGTTGCAGCCCGATGTGGTAGAATTTAAGGTGCTACGCTACTAGTATAACTTTAAGCTAACTATATATTGTATGAGAGGTTTAGAGCTCTGGAATGTTACAAACACCTCTTGGCATCCTTTCTCTCTGAAGATTAAATATGAGCTCATCTAGTAGAGTTTGCTTTACCCAAAGTATAAAACCATAACACCAAGAGACTTCAAGTCAAGTTTTACATGATATGCACCTTAGAAAGGTACAAAGTAGTATCTTCTATCCTGTATAAGAAAGAATACTGCCAAGGTAGCGATGGCAGAGGGCCAGTTCCCGCGCCTTCGCTTTTAGGGTCTGATTCTAGGCCTCAACGGACTCGACTGGGCATATTTTGTTGATGTCTTCTATAGTCAGCCCGAGAATCTGTCCCCCTAGGTAGTAAGCATAGTATGATTACTTGCTCCGTACAAGCCTTTCCGAATGGAATCAAAGTGGGATGTGGCATCTAACAGTCATGATGTGACGATGGTTGTAGGGTTTCCTTCACCGCTACAGTTGTTCACCAAGATTGGCGGCCCGGCCCCAATCAGCTTTTCAGCACATGGTCACGGGTGGCGCCGAGGAACCAAAGAGTGTAAGAGCTTAGCTTTTAGGTCTCATCTTTTATCAATGATCACACAGTGTTGGTCGTGGATGGCCTGTATAGGTCTCTTTACTCAACACTTTATCACTCAAAGGCTCCTTCTCCTGCCTTGGGAATCGTTCTTACTTTTTCCTTTTTCTCTCTCTCTTTTTTTTCTTCTTCGCCATGCTCCCCACTTTTGTTTCACAGTGTCGAAAAAGCCACCTACATTAAACCTATGCAGGGTAAACCGATCAAGTAACCGCCGGACGCGAATCGACATCTTTGGCATATGCATTCTCCCCTCGCCTCGTGGCAAATTGGAGTTTGTTCATCAGCGCACTTGTCACAACACTGCCAAACGCCCCCAAAGCATATTCCAAGCCATGTTCATAATAGGAGTCTTATACATGTGGTCCTCGTATGCTGACCTCGGAAGCTACATTAACCGATAAAATGAGAAGGTAAGGTGAGGGGTTGGACCCATCGACGTAACATTGCATATCCACAGCAACATATCCACCGCGTGTGAAGAGCAGGGATCAGACAGGGATGATGAGAAGGAGACATTGGACAAGAGCAACGCGACTACGGATCGCTCTTGCTCATTGGCTGATCTAAGTGAACCACTTTCCTCATCGCGCGTCTTGAGGGCGGATGTTTCTGGGCACCGGGTGTCATTTTGAAACATCTTCTGGTCGGCGTGCAGGGGTTGTGCTGTATGATCACGCATCCAGCAGAATCGGGTGGATATCGGTGGGACTGCTTATACATCAATGGGGAGTAAGTGCAGGGATTATATATTGAATAAATTGCAGGGAGGGACCACCTGTTGTGTACTGGCTGATTCTTTTCTCAAGCTTGCTGACGGCTGGCACGTAGCGATAGAATTATGGCTCGGGAACACCATTTGGATGCGCTTGTCGTTGGGACTGGTTTTGGTGGAATCTACACCCTCTATTCCCTTCTCAAGGAGGGTCTGAATGTGAAAGCCATCGATGCGGCCGGTGATGTCGGTGGGACTTGGTACTGGAACCGATATCCTGGTGCCTTAAGCGATACGTGGAGTCATCTGTATCGATTCCTATTTGACCACGAGCTTCTGCAAAGCTACCCCTGGAAAAAATGGTATCTCACGCAGCCCGAGATCTTGGAGTATCTCCGTCACGTCGTGGAGAGATACGACCTCCGCAAACACATGCAGTTCAACACTAAGATGCAAAGCGCGGCGTGGAACGACACGACCAAGACCTGGAAGGTCCAGTGCGAAACAGGCGACGTCTTCCATGTGCGATACCTCTTCACAGCGCTTGGACTCCTAGTTAAAGCCCACTACCCCGATATCCCCGGGATGGACAAATTCAAGGGAAAAATCAACCACACCTCGGCGTGGAACCCAGGCGTGGACCTCGAGAACAAGCGTGTGGGTGTTGTCGGCGTAGGATCATCGGGCGTGCAGGTCGTGACGGCCATCGCGGACAAGGTTAAATCTCTTCATGTATTCGTCCGACGCCCGCAGTATACCGTTCCCAGCGGGAATCGGGATGTTACGCCGGAGGAACGCGCCCTGGTCAACAAAAATTATCCAGCAATCATCACCGACGCCCGCACGTCCACCTTTGCTATGGGGACGCCAGAGTCTACGAGACAGTTCATGTCACTGTCGCCGGAAGACCGCGAGGAGCTACTGGAGCGGCTGTGGCAGCTGGGGAACGCCTTCCAGTTCATGTTTGGCGGTTTTTCGGATATTGCCACGAATGAAGCTGCAAATGAGGAAGTATGTCGGTTTCTGCGCAAGAAGATCGCCGGTATTGTCCAGGATCCGCAGAAGCGAGACGTCCTGACACCGAAGGAACTCTATGGCCGGCGACCCTGTGTGATGATGGGTTCTACGAGAAGTTCAACAAGGAGAATGTCTTTGCGGTGGATCTCAAGAAGAATCCTATTGCGGAGGCTACGCCTAGCGGCATCCGCATGGCTGATGGCACGACCCACGAGCTCGATGTCATTATCTTTGCGACCGGGTTTGATGCCGTAGATGGCACCTATGCGATGGTTGACATTCGGGGCCGGGATGGGAAAAACTTATATGATCTTTGGAAACCCACAGGCCCAAGCACGTACGTAGGAATGTCTGTGCATGGGTTCCCAAACCTCCTTCTCGTCAATGGGCCGCACATGGCGTTTGCCAATATTCCTACGTCAGGGGAGACTAACACCGAATTTATTATGGATTTGGTCCGACGCGCCGAGGAGATATCCAAGCAGACGGGACGTCCGTGCGAAATCGAAGCCTTAGAAGAGGCCGAGCGTGCATGGACAGAACGCAGTAGGTCCTCCATAGCGGGAACAGTGTTTGAGAAGGTTCCTTCTTGGTTATTGGGGAAGAATGTCGCTGGGAAGGCTGTGGGGGTGTCGTTTTACTTTGGGGGTCTGGGGACGTTTAGGGCCTATTTGGCTGACATAAAAGCTAAAGCCTTCGAAGGCTTCAAGAGCCCTTTAGGTCCAGCGATTCGGGAAGCACAGCTATAGGACAGGGCTTGATGCATCGGATAGGAATATGGAGGATGACTAGAGAATACTCGATATGTTTTAACGGGATATGCTCCGGGATTCACAGAGCATTCAGGGTTCAGTAATAATGGAAGCAAATGTATAAACCAAGAATGCAGCCCATATGAGCACAACTGACGTTGGATAAATAGCGAGTAGCTTTGTCTAGGTCTATTTACAGGTTGGTTTTGACATAAGTCTATTGAGGCGCACACTGATTATCGGGACCCCTTCTATCCCGCGTATTCGACCCCGTCTCATTTCCTGTTTCGGGCTCAGCGTCCAGACGCCGCTGGATTCTCTCCCAGTCCGGCTCTTCGTCAGGCTGCAAATTGATGGCTTCTTCGGCTAATACTGCGTGGTGTACGTTACCTTCGCGGCGCATATCCTGAGCGAACTGTCGTAGCAGGTAAGCCCGAATGGTGGCATCCGGCTCACTTCGTGTATTTCCTGAGGGTGGGACTGGTCGTGATGATGCTGTTCTGTTCATCTTTGTTTCCGCGTACTCTAAAACCTTGCGGACCAAAGTGGATCGCATCCCGTTCTGGACTTTCCAGCACTTGACCTGCAAGGGGACAGTAGGACCAGTGTAGACCCCGTTTGGGTGGTTGATGGCCAGAGGCCAGAGGTCCTCTAATAAAGCGGACTGGGATGACAGCATTGCATAAAGATCTCCCCAGATTAGATTACCAAGAATGCGCATTTGTCCGTAGTAACCAGGAGATTCATCGGGGCGTTCAATGCCTTCCTTTGGATCATAGTGAGCATCAACTGCGAGGACGAACCCTGAATGATCACCGGAAGGGATAAATTCGGTGGCAGCCGAGTATGAATCGCCCATGTAGGAAGCAACGCAAGCATCATCAATGACCAGAAATGTGCTTTTGTTGACACGGTGCTTGTCCTCGAACGAGGAAATCGCATGATCGTTGAAATGCCTAAAGAAATTTGCCCGGTCAATGCTGCTATCCCTGAGGTCAATAATGAACACCATACTCACATCTTCGCCGCGTCAATGTCCCCCTCAGGGATCTCCAGGGCCTTTCCTTCCAGCCAATGCAGCTTCAGAAGCGGTTTAATGGCGTTGGAACCGGTTTGACCCCGACCCCAATCGGCCACATGCGTCTCGAACTTTCCCAAAAACCCCGCCCATTCAGCGTCATTTTGCTTATAGGTTAGACGGTATATGGCAAGTCCAAAACCGCCAACAGGATCCATCTCAGATGTGTCCAGCCTAGCCAGACTTTTCGCAATCCACGGCTCACGCGGTACTGGCTCTATAGGCTCGCCCCTTGTTTCCCGTCGGACCTTGATCTGGCTCTCGATCTGCTGCAGAGCGGTCCGATGGAGTGATTCTGGTGATCCCATGCCTTCATGCACACCCCGAGATGCGGTACGTATCTGCTGAAACATGGTCATGCGACTGACAAGCTTCAGCCTCTGCTGATGTTCTTTACCTCGCTTCTCATAATCGGGTGATCTCAGCCCTGGCGGAATACCCGTCTCAATCGGAGATGGGGTATACCCCTTGTACCCATGCATCGGTATCATGATCGTGTAATCTGCGACAGCCGAGATCTCCATGAGCACATGCAAGGCATCCGTCATCTTCCACTGCACCCTATCCACGACATCCTCATCCATCGGACGATGCGACAACAAGCCCTCGAGAAGGGGTGCGCGCAACGTATTCACATGCGAGATGACCCAGCGGTGCGCACGCTCCGTCATCATCTCATAATGAGCCGCGATAAACTCAGTCCACCGCTTAGCCATGCTGACAGGCTCCTGTTCCAGCCGGCGACGCCGGTCATTCAAAACCCCATCACACTCCTCCCAATGCGCATAGATCAGGTTAAACGTGTCCCGAAGATTCTGCGCCACCTGCGGCTTATTCAGATACTCAAAGACCGCCAGCACGGAAGACAGATACTGAGATGCGACCCGAAAATTCGAAAAATGGTCAAGACCCTTTTCACGCCACCGCTGCTCCGAAAGCGGGATGATGCCCTCCCAGGCCCGGCTTTTGGCCGAGTGGATATTCTTCCCCACAAGGCAAAGCCGATCGCCGTCCTCCCTGGACCCGATTCTCTTCATCACGCGTTCCAGAAAGGGCTCGCCATTGGGTTCAGCCTCCGGGCGAGTGGACAGGCTGCGGATCTCCTCCGGTGTTAGTCGGGGTAGCGTCGACTGCTTCCCATTGGGCAGTGGAGCTCCGTGACAGCATTCTAGAAAGTGGACGATCGTCTGGGGCTCCAGGAGTCGATCAACTGCGCGGATCAGTTTCATATTTAGTCTATTTCTGGCATTGCCGGAATACCCGGCTTACCTATGTGTAACTCGTCTTGAGACTCGCGATGTGCTTTGGTAATCGCGTGGCCGGAACTGCTGATATGTCGATATGGGACACGGCGTGCCATGGTGAGTAACTGATTTGAATGATGTTGCTGGCATTCTTTAATGGTCGGGAAATGGCAATCTTATAATTTTGCATCGTCCCCTGAACTTTCCTCTGCCAGAGGCTAGGGTACCTTAGTGTCATGAGGTGGGCGATTGCCTAGTGGCTGCCTGAATGTTGGCCTGGATGGTCTAACCACATTGACCGTAGTGTTCCAAATTCCAATTTCACTACTCTGTATAGGTTGCAGCACTAAATGACTAGCTCAGACAAAAAGTTGTTACTTGCTTTTGATTTTGTTCTCAGCTATAAGAATAATCTAAAAATACATAATATTATCGGCTCAGAATCGGAAAAGACGATGCTTTATTCTTGGATCATTTTTTTTTTAATAATTAGTTTACTACTTAACGAACTACTGTTTCTATCAAACTATTATTTGGATATACCCTGCCTTTGGTTCTAGCTTCGGAAGCCCTAGAACTAAACCGAATCAGATAAGGGTCCGGAACCATGACCGATAATACGAATTAGTAGCTTACTAGTAATAACCTTCTTGCCATGATTGGCTTTTTGAGCTTGTCGACATTGATTCCCTGCTACAAGACAGACCCTTTGGATGAAGGCTAATACAAGATAGTCGTTATACTAAACTCTTTGGCGGCATCCTATGCCTCGAGGGGGTGGCCCCCCGGGATCAAACATCTGTCCCTCGATACAATAGCGTCTCACCACCTAGTAGAACCAGTTCTATAGCTTCGCCGTCTGATATTTACGAGCCATGGACCAAAACACCTCTGTATCTCATTCTTCCTTCCCGAAGTGTCTCCATCGCCATCTCAATTCCGCTTTTGCTTAACGGGAATGTCATCATGATAGGCTGTATACAGTGACGGGCAGCGAAATCTAACATTTCGCGTTGGCTACCCCGCGTCGCAGGGAGACTTCCCTGAATGCGCAGAGCCTTCATAACCAATGGCAGATACGGGACCTTCATCTCATGCATATCAACCGTAAGAGCATAGATGGTGCCCCCGGGAGCCATGATCTGGAAAACAGCATCCCAGTTCGGCTGCTTCGACGACGTGACAAGCAGATGATCCAGAGGCTCCAGCACGGGAGGGGAATCCGAGAAAACATGGAACTCAGAGGCCCCGAGGGCGAACGCTTCAGCCCGTTTAGACTCTGTTCTGGACAACACCGCCACTTGACAGCCCATTTTGGCAGCGAACTGAATCGCAAGATGTCCTAGGCCACCGACCCCAATCACGCCCACGCGCTCGGTCGGCGCAACGCGGAATTTACGCAGTGGCGAGAACACGGCACTTCCGGCGCACATCAAGGGAGCGGCTTCGACGTTGGATATTTCATCGGGGATTTTAGACAGGAAGTCTTCCGGCCAGATAGCTGCCTCTGCAAAGGATCCTTGGTTGGTGTTGCTTTCGCCGTAGATCTGTCGTTCATTGCAGTATAGCTCCTCGCCGCGCAGACAGTACTTGCATTGGCGACAGCTGCCGTGTCCGTATCCCCAGCCTACACGGTCTCCTCTGTTTTCATAAAAGGTTAGTTACGCTCTCAGTAGAGAATAGAAGAGGAAAATTCGCTGCACGCCTACATCTTCAGCAAAGTCACTTTGCTGCCGATTGCTTTGACAACCCCAGCCCCTTCATGTCCGAGCACAATGTCGGCACATTTGTAGTGTTCGTCGGTTCCACAAAGACCGGAATGAGTGATCTGGACGAGTACTTCGTTCTCCTTCGGGTCAGGATGCTGAACGCGACATTCGACGACCTCCCCATTCGGTGAGCCTTTGAAAGCGGTAAATTCCGGCATGTTGAATTGAATCGACGAAATATCGCCCGAGCTAAGCAAGTCGATGAATGGTAGGGTGTATATGTAGGCGTGACTCTTCCAAGGATTTTCAGACTGCCCGTGAGAACATAGGCGTTGTGCAGTTATGTCAAATCATAGTTGGTTGTGAGATTGCTGCTGTGGACATTGTCCTGGAAGTAGCCAATCACAACATCATCGTTCCGCTGGAGCAGTCTTTCTGGCACCTTCAGCGGAACCCTATCGTGTCGACGACCACTCATCTTTGCTGCCAGTCGGCTCTTGCAGCTAGGTCTTTGCCTCATTTGCCAATTTTAAATCATCCTATGAGCACGTTCCATACCTTTTTCAGACGCCATTGGGTAGTTCAGTAGCAAAGCTTTGCGATGCCTGGAAGCCAGCTTAGGGCCCACGCATATCTATAAGAAGACCACCCAGTAGCCACCTAAACATGTATACTTCCAATCACTTTCACAACTGCCAGTGTTCAGTCGCACATCTTCACTCTACAAACATCCAATCAGCAGCCATGTCCACCCTCCAGGAGAAGAACAAGGCGGTAGTGCAAAGGTACTTCGAAGAGTACTGGGGCAAGGGCAACGCCTCCATTGTGGACGAGGTGTGTGCCGATAACTTTGTCATCGATTATCCCATGCATGGACCCCGGCGTGGTAAAGAAGCGGCGAAGAAAATGCTACTCGAATTCCGCGAGGTAAGTAACCTGGCCAATATCCTAAAGATGCAGACATAACAAGGCCTAATATTCCATGCTCGATAGGCGTTTCCGAATATTTCCTTCCACGCCTACAAGTTCCCGCTCATTGCAGAGGGCGACTATGTCGTTGGTCGCTGGATTGGGGGTGGCAAGCATACCGGTCGGGCATTCGATGACCTTGCAGTTGGCAAGCTCGACAAGGCAAATACTGGGAGAGAGGTTTATTTCTCAGGAACAACTATTTTCACATTAGAGAATGGCAAGATTGTGGATGAGATTGGTGAAGAGCAAGCTTTGACTGCTCTGCAGCAGCTGGGGCTGGTCTCTCCTTCTAATCCGGGAAAAGAGATCAAGTATGATGCGGATGGGAATCATGTCTGAGGGAATAAGACATCGCTGGGGCACGCAAGTTGTTACTATGACTTGCTCAGTGCCTTGGGATAATGTCTAGTTTATTAGTTTACTAGTTCCCTTACAGTCCGACTCAATGGGGAGTGTTTTTTTGTAAGACTTGTCGCTTTTTGCATCATTTCTGTAATACGTACGTAATGGCTTGTTGTGTAGCACTACCAAAGAACGGTCCAGGTGCAAATAAGACCAGGCTGTTGACGATCGGAGTACAGCAACTTCTAACCAAGCTCTGATACCGGCTCCTAATTGTCAAGGCTGGATATGTGATTACGACGAAGGGCTTGTCGAACAGGGCATGGTTGGACGTAGTGCTCTTGCGGTTGTTAAAAACACCCTAAGACTACGCCTATGCTATGTTGGCAAAGTAGCGTACACTATGATTGTGTGCCTTGGTATTCCTAGTTCACTATATCTGTGGCACTTTTATTCTCAATTTCTTGAACTGCCGGGTCTAGCATCCCGTAGACATCGTATACCAGTCCCATGGATCCCAGGTACCTGTATACTGATCCAAAATCATCGGCAAATACTGAACAGACCATTCTTTACTCCTGTCGGCAGTATACTGTGCCTTGCGGGCCTCCCAATATGCAGGTAGCCAGCCTGATTGCTCCCAATCGACAATCGCTAGAGTACGATATGGGGGAAGCGGAGTTACAATGATGTTGCTTCGGTGGAGATCGCCATGAGTGAACTTAATCGTACTGTTATCAGGTAAGTCATGGCGAAATGGTTCGACCGGGACCGAGTATGGATTCGACATTCGCCGTCGGGGGAGAAATGTGAACCATTCGTGAAAATCACGGACTGTAGCGAATGGTCCGGCTTCTGACAGGTAACTTATATGGAATGCTCTGTCGTAGAGAGGCTCGCGTACTACGTTGCCTGAGCACGGAAAGTTAGGTATAGGCTAGAAAGAATCAGGATATAGGGTTGGGAAAGGTGCTTTACCTATAAATGGATCGGATGAATCTTGTTCAAGTCGGCGTAAATTATCAAGGATTGTTCGAAGTTCCTGGCAGATCGAAACCCGATCACCGGGTTCCATTACATCCCACACCTTTTCCAGAGTTTGTCCCTCTGTATATTCCATGTAAATGAAGTTCTCGTCTCCATCCACACGCCAACCATATACCTCAGGGACTGGAACATCGTCTCGAAGAAATCGGCAGATAGCATACAGACACTGAGCCTCTGATATACTCACGCCGCTCCCCCATTTGACAAACAGTCTCATATTCTCGAATAGTACAGGCGGTGGCCTTACGAAAGGGGCGGTCGAGTAGACCTTTCTCTTGTCTGGACTGACTCCCAAAAGATACTGAGCTTCGGCTTGTGCACGAACCTCTTTTGGTGAAGGTAGCTGACTCCATTTTCTGAAAAAAGCTGAATCTTCGACGTCGAAATTGGGCGAATTAGGAATCATTGAGGGCATCAACTGGACGCGCCCAAGTTTGTTAACCATTTTGCGTGATTGAGAAAATGGATCAGCTGCAGCAGAATATCCGTATATAGTTTTTTATTAAGTCAAGAAGCGCATGGGTATGGCGGTTAGAACATCAACTCTCAGTGTAAGGCGTATAACCGATCCTATTGAGATTCAGGAACGAGAGCCCCAGCGGTAGAGCAGCAAGTTAAATGCGATTGGATTACGGTATTATGTCATCTCTTTGTTCTTTCGGATGATGGAACATTCTTCTGCATAAGCGGGTTGGTGTTGCTTTTCATACGAACCCTTGGACGACGGCTGTCCTTTTTCGACAGCTGTTCTACACTGGCGGGTTTTGTTTTGACGGTGTTCATACCTGCAACCCTATTATGGTATCGATGGAATCAATATCTTACATATACAATGCAGAATAGGGATCCCTTGTCTATAGTGTTGCGAAACAAACGTAATACCAGCTGACTAGACGGTTTATCATGCCTCGGCTAATGGTGCATTGGCCTTTTAGGACGTGGTGCCTATATGTCTTGACCTTTACTGGAAGCGTTGTATGTATATACAACTCTAGACGGAACGTGGCCGAGAAGCGCTATTGCTCGAGAAACCGGCCCAGGCCAACGACCACGTTGACACGTTTTGAAGTGGACTGTATTTTATCCACATAGTGCAGATGTTAGTATACAGCTCACAGGCACATGCGCCACAGTGTGAAGACAGAACATGAGGAACGACAGGTGCGCAAACGGAAATCCGGAGAGGAAAGTGTAGGAATGGAGGCCGAAAGCATTTAAAAACCTGACAAGTGGGAGTTTACTAAAAGGCTGAAGGTGTGTGATTTACTACTCGAACATGCTAGGCAGGGGCTTAAGGGACCAGCCTAATGTATATACCTTGTAGTATTACACCCATATATCGGCCATAAGAGCCTTCGGAGGCTCGTCCGTGCTCATCCAAAGGGGAGAATGTGACTTCCCTATTGGATATCAATCACTCTTAGAGAGATCTATTTTGTACATATTTCAGCCAGAAAGAGAGTGGATTGAAGTATTGGGCTTCACGCCAGTAAATGCTTTAATCACCTAAGAATTATTGCACTATCCATGCGGCATTGGCTAATGGAAGGTTTCCTCTCGATAGCGGTCTGGTTTTAGAATACCAAAATCGGATATCAGAGGGAACAAAGGGAAAACAGACGAAAGCCAAGATAAAACAAAGAAGTATAGAGCACAAAGGGCGGGGAGCGAAGCCAGTACATAAAGCAATTATACCAGCCTATTCACTTTCCCTGACGATGAAAAGGCTGGTTTTCTGGCCCAGAGGGAGGCGCAGGGCGTATAGGGAGACCTTGGGTCAACCGTGGCAGAGTATTATTTGATGCCACATGGGCGATAAAGCGATAGGCGCTGTCATCTGCCGGAAGCATTGTCCACAACTCTACAGGCATCGTGACAAGTACTAGACCTGAGCCCTGGAAGGCGGCCTCAATCTTGACATCTACATTCAAGACGCCAGCCGGGATGTTTGTCGTGAGCCACTTGGTCCATGATTTCAGATCCAGCTCCGAGATCTCATCACGAGTCTTCACACTGATAAGCACCCTGTTAGATCCAGGGGCCTTCAAGGCCTGTAGTCTCTGCACCTCTCTCGGTTCCAGTTTCTGGAGAGTGATACTTGGCGACCCTTTCTTCGGTACATGTATAGGGCAAGCACCTATCTGATTCTGGTATGCGTTTCGGAAAAGCCGAGCATAGATCCCGACAGCAGTCTCAGGTGCCCCTCTCAAGTCGTTGAGGGTGTCTATGAGGGCTTGGGTGAACGAAAAACGTAGGCTATCCGTTGCCGCTTGCTCCCATCCCGAAGCCGCAATGGTCTCCGGACCCGTTCCCATGGCCACTGAGGCAGCAGAGCAGCAGTCGAAGATGTAAAGAACGTCCCCTTCGATATTATCGACTGCTCCACTTATGCGTCTCCAGTCAATTCTAGGTCCTACAAGATCTCCCTTTGCATTGGCTCGCCCCCTATCAATATTATTAGCCAGGCAACGGTTAGCTGAGGCAGAGGGATGCTTCGCATACGCTAGAAACCATTGGAGATCCGTTGTACCGGCATATCCTGCATGTCCGGAATACAGCACTATTCTGAGTGTATGTTCGCCTCCCCTGGAGGTAGACCATGAAAGGAGCTTGTAATTCAAAGATGGATATGACCCAGTGACTGGAATCTGATAACTCTCAGTCCTGAAGTTGTAAACCCCCGCAAAGATATTCATGAGTTCGGATTCGAGGCGACCAACTTTCATCTCATCGTTCTGCCAATGAAGGGCCAATACGGATACATCGCGGTAATATCCATGGGTAGTCGGGGTCACAGCATCCAAGGCCTTCTTGAGGTCTGATGCAAAGTCCTGAAGCCGCTTTGGATGTTCGCTCCTTAGGTTATACGCATGTAAAGGCTTCAGGGAGGTCATGGTGGCGTAGGATATGACGGATAAGGTAGAAAGAGACGGTAATGCTGCTGTTTACCATGTAGGTGTTGTAACGAGGAGATTGGTACCAGCTTCTGCTGTGTACCACACAGGTGTCGTAATCACAGAATTAGCACCAGCTTTTGCTGTGTGCTACGAGGATATTCGATCAAAAGGTGAGAAGAAATACAAGACGCCAAGTGAGGTGTGGTTGACTGGTTCAAGATATTGCTTACAAGGATGTAGATAGCTAAATAAACGAGAGTAGGAGGAATGATGTGGGTCGGTATGAAAATATTCACTGAGCTATTCATTAACTTGTGTTAGCAAGGAAGAAAATATCAAATACATCACCATAGCACTGACAATACCCTAATTGTTGATCACAATGAGGTAATTTGTGTTATGAGTGAAAAGTTACCAGATATGGGTGCCTAGGTAGAGCTTCAGAATGCACCAAGGACTATTAATTAACTTGGACCTTTCCCTATCACTTGACAGGCTTCATAGTGAAAGCCTGGGCAAGCCATATATACCAGCCCTTTCTACCTTTCCTTTGCTTTTGGTGGGTTTTAGATCCTCCTTACAAGGAGGATATCCGCTTTTCTTTCCATTTCACGACATTGAGATCGATATAGTCATCCTAATTAGGGTTACTGTTTCACATCCTTGATATGTCGATCAACTAACAGTCGTGGGAAAGCTTCACCAACTGCCACACTCGTATCAGTATCGACGTGCGACCGCATAAAAGGGCGATTCATTTCTGCTTTGAGCTACCCTCCAGACTTTGTGTCATACCCGAAAATGTCTGGGTTGTCGTGACCCTGAACTCTTGGGCATATTACTGGGAGGTTTCTGTACCATACCTAGGCAGAACGACCAGATTGGTGCTGATCGCTGTGAATTAGAACTCATGTATATTTTAAGGAGACCTACAAATATCAGTTTAATTGGTATAGTACCGAGTACATTGCCCCAATAAATGCCAAATTAGGAGGTCTAGGTGCCAGGTACGGCTTGTGTACTTGATGTCCAAAAGTCCCGGGGGAGCTAGGCGCCGGCCTAGCGCATAGCTCCACGAGAACTACTACTATCAACTGGGACTACCATGAATATTGGGCCTTCCCATTCTCTTTCCTTGACCTTCCGATAGCTTTTGAAGTTTAGCTTGTTTTCGAGCCTACTTACCAAGAAGGTATTTATTTTTCTTCAGAATCTACGACACTCATACGTTGAAAGAACTAGGGTTATTGTTTTCCATGTGTCGATCACCTGACAGGCACGGAAAAACTCCGCCGTCTGCCACATCATCATCGTATCTGCCCGACATGCGCCCGGTTTAAAGGCCATGATTAAGATACCGGCCCACCAAGATGAAGCGGCTGATTTCTGCCAGGGAGGATCCTTCGAACAAGCGGCGGCAGATTCAACTAGAGAACAAGCCGCCTTCACCGGTGTCCATACCTTGTAGAACGCAGGTCTATTCATCCAGGCCCCTGGTGGTGGTATCCCTGACTAACGAAATGCGTAAAGGATATACCGGCCGCTGTTTCTCGATCGAATGCCATACGAGAGACAGACCAAGAAGACTCCATACATAATAGGATATTCAATTGGATCCCGCTGGCGGCGACCGATTTTGACCCCATGGAACGACCTCCATCAAAGCGTTCGCGCTCCGTTTCATCCGATCGCGACCGCGAATCTTCGGGCCCATCAGAGGGATCCCGAAGTAGGTCTTCATCGAGAGACGCGAGATCTTCAGCGTATAGAGACACCAATTACGCGACAATCTTAGAAACAAAGAATTGTTACATGCGGAATTCCGCTACTGGGCCAGCTCAAGAAGATATTGAGTTGTGCAAGCAACTGCTCCAGCAGGAAATCGAAGTTCCACAGGAAACAATGTTTCAAAGTGAACATTTCGATGCATTTCACGATGCTCTGCAGGATCGATCGGAAATGCGTCTTCTTATTGATCTGCATCCGATGCTCATGCCGTCCGCGGAAAATCAGTTCATCAGAGGCAGGCTGTCTCTGAAGAATGTCATTGATGGATATAATGACCCTTGGATAAAAGCCGAGCCCATCTATGGGCCGAAGCCACAACCGGACCACACCCGTGGCCTCCGATGGTCAACGTTCAATGAAAGTCAGCGGAAGAAGCTTGGGGTACAGCCAAATGAGAAGTCCCTATACACTGCTAGGGAGGAAATCTACTTCCCTTACCTAGTGGGAGAAGTTAAGTCCAACCAGCAGGCTCTCGACATTGCCGATAGACAAAATATGCATAGTGCCTGCGTTGCCCTTCGCGGTCTCGTTCATCTGTCCCGAATGGCTGGCTGCGTTGAGATATTGCACCGGCGAATTTTGGCATTCTCAATTTCACATGACGGGGATATAGTTCGCATTTATGGCCATTATCCTGAAATAGAAGACGACAAAGTATCATACTATCGCTGGCGGATTGGGAAATTTGATATCTGGACGGATGCCGACAAATGGACCTGTTATCGCTTTGTTTATAATTTAGATGACATATTTCTTCCGAGTCATATCGCACGTGTGATGGACATGTTGGAACGGATCCCTGAGCCACAAGATATCTCATCGCCTGTTGATCTTGACGCTACCACGGAGGTACAATCCGTTCCTGGCTCGGAAGAAGAAGAGTCTACCGCCCGTCGGAACATGGCAGTACGATCTCGGGGCCTACAACCAGAAATACGGGCTATGGTACAGAGTGTACAGAAGCAGGTGGAGCGGCTCGAGCGAGAAAGGCAGGAGCAAAAAGGGAGGGAAGAGAAATTACATGCACAGCTGGAGCAAGAACGGCGGGAGCGGCTCGAGCAAGAAGAGAAGCTACATGCGCAGTTTCAGAGGGAACGAGAGGAGCAGAAGCAACGAGAAGAGCGACTACGTGCGCAGTTCGAGCAGGAGCGACGGGAACAAAAAGAGACACAAGAAAGACTAATCACGCAGTTTGAACGCTTGGCTCAAACGCTGAGCCCAAAGTAAGTATGTGTCATCTTTCTCACATTCCATAGGGCGTCAAGAGCAGTCTTTCGGATTCCTCATCTGTTCTGATCTCGCTCAGGTTCAGGTATCACATCCTATACATTCTCTTGTTACTTCTAATCAACGTTCCTGATTTTGTCTCACCTACATCTTGCGTTCTTATTCGTTGTCAAGGCGTGATCCTTCCGACGCATTCGAGCTCATATAGTAATACGTATACTTCTGTCCTTGTCTTCATCCTCAGCCCGTTCACTATTCGCCCGTATGGGACAGTCTCGTGCAGGTCTATTATAGTTTCTAATCCTTTTCCCCCTATTTATTGCTTTATGCTGTCCAGTAGCTTGCCTAATTGTACGATTCACTTGTTCTATCCAACTGCTTCTCGAATTTCAGACTCGGCGTTGAGGCATGTACCAAGCAAAATGATGTGCTGGGTGCGTTGCCCAAAATGTGTCCGGAGTCAGGATATGGGGACTCGTGCATTTCTTCATGGTTGGGTGAACCAGACTGCTATATTCGAGACAAAAGCTTAATTAGCGGAGTTAGCGTAGCGCCCTTGCATTTATGGAGAAATATTTGCCTCGAGCCAAGCTATCTGATATCACTGGTAAAGTTGTAAAGCCCGCGCGCAAACTGGCTAGTACGTTGCACGGAACCCACAGGCGATCACAATAACCACTACACTCAGACAGGATACCACACAAGCTATGAATCAGGCTTAACCAGGTTCTTCAGCCTAAATCACCGGCTATACAACAAAAAAGACCACAGGGAATCCCCCGCTCTGAGGAAGATGTACCTGAAACACGATCGACCAATGAGCCGAAAGCAAGTATATCTTCGTCACGGAGGATGAGCCGAACGGCATTTTCCTTCCGCAATGCCGTCTGCCGAATTGGCATTGCAACAGGGGATTCTGCAACCGTAGTAATTTATCTACACCCCCTGTCAATGCGGGGATGGACTTGGGCGTCAAGATTGGAGGGGACAATTCCGTTCGTCCGGGAGCAAATGACCTGACTGTGAATGGAAGGTGGATTTACAAGGAAAAAAGGCCGTGTGATGCTTCGCCGTGATAGTGAGGGTGTCATGAGCACTAGCATGGGGTATTTAAAGACTGCCTCTCGCCATCAAGACTTGCGAGAGGAATATACTAGTAAGAGCAGCTTCAATAACATATCCCGATCACCGAGCTCAAAATTCGCTCACTGCTCCAGTGAACATGATCGTGTCATATCTCCTCACCTATCTCCTGTATGCCCTCACGTGCAGTGCCAGGGCTATACACAATGCGAAATCCCTAGTTCCCCGAGCAGGATCTCTCGAGAAAGTCACCGACTTCGGTGACAACCCGTCCAACGTTGGCATGTACATTTACGTACCCAACAACCTCGCTTCTAATCCCGCAATTATAGTCGCCATCCACTACTGTGCGTACTCGCCCACCCATACCCTACATACCACACTGACAGCACCCAAGGCACAGGAACCGCCCAAGCATACTACCAAGGCTCTCCCTACGCCCAACAAGCCGAAACCCACGGCTTCATCGTCATCTACCCGGAAAGCCCCTACGAGGGGACATGCTGGGACGTCAGCTCGCAAGCGACGCTGACGCACAACGGGGGCGGAAACAGCAACTCCATCGCCAACATGGTAACCTGGACGACGAAGCAGTATAACGCAGATGCCAGTAAGGTGTTCGTAACGGGCACTAGCTCAGGTGCCATGATGACGGTACGTTTGTCCCACAAGCAGCCTCTCCCCTCCCCATGAAGAATACACGAATACGAAACTGACCATACTAGAACGTCATGGCAGCAACATACCCCGACCTCTTCGCCGCAGGCATCGCCTACGCCGGCGTCCCAGCCGGCTGCTTCCTCTCCACCGCCGACCAGCCCGACGCCTGGAACTCCACCTGCGCGCAGGGCCAGTCCATCACCACCCCGGAGCACTGGGCGAGTATTGCCGAAGCAATGTACCCCGGGTATAGTGGCGCGCGACCCAAAATGCAGATCTACCACGGTAGTGTCGATGCCACGCTGTACCCCCAGAACTATGAGGAGACGTGTAAGCAATGGTCCGGCGTCTTCGGGTATAACTACGATGCTCCCGAATCGACAGCCTCGGATACGCCGGAGGCGAACTGGGTGACGACTACTTGGGGACCGAATCTTCAGGGCATTTTGGCCGGGGGCGTGGGACATAATATACAGATTCATGGGGATGAGGATATGAAGTGGTTTGGGTTTACGTGATGGGTTTGTTTTCATTATCGGGTGTCCTATGGGGGTGCTTTTGTGTGGGATGTGATTTGAGGGTTGGGATGGTGTTTTTCCTTCATTGAGATTGGTTTGCAAGGACTTTTTTTTTCTCTCTCTTCATATGAGGAGGGAGCTGTATATAGCATGGAATTCATTGCACATATACGAAGAACGAATTTGGGGCAATTCATTGATCAGCATTCTATCGGGGCTGACTCGACTGCTTCATTCGTTATCAACACTAAGAGACGGACATCATATCCACAATCACGCCCAGGACAGCTCCACGCCCTAATGCAACGTGTTCAATGTCAGGAAATACATCCCACGCCCATACACTTGGCATAGGGAGTACTCCGGATTTCCCCGCAGCATTTCTTGTCGATCAAAAATGGAGCTCGGAGGACTTCCCAGTACGGTAACCCGTCGCCTCTGCAATAGTCTCGAGGCCCGAGAGATACCGGCTAATGTACTATCTTTTATTCTAGGCGTTGATCGGTAGTTGTTCTATGCTTGGTAGCCGTGGGTACGTAGTTCAACCCATACTTTGCAAGGCGATGCCGTCTAGTGAGTCCGTAGAGCAAATGTTGTCGTAGAACAGGAAAAGTAAAGGTAAACTATTCATCTAAGCCATAGTGTTGCATTCATCCTCTAGTCATAGATAGGGTATCGCTCATTGCAGTGTGCGTCGTGATGTAACAGATCAAGTTTACATCTTCTCCACCTTCTCTACCTGCTCGACCTTCTCCGTAGTAGGCTTTTGTTCCACCACCTCAGCCTTCTCCACATCGAGGACCTTCTGCGATGCAGACTCCTCCACACCCGCGACCGCAGTCTCAAATCTGCGTCCACGCTTCTCCGGCCCAAACGCGGTCGTGACCATGATTCCAGTCGCGATAATGGCCGTGGCGACACCCATGGTTGGTCCATACGCGGGGGCCGGTTTACCGGTGGAGCCAATGATAAAGGTCTTTTCGGCGACGGCGTTGACGATCTGGGCGGAGGGGGACGAGATCATGTTGCCCACTTGGTAGGTGATTCCTGGGTCATGTTAGAGAATGTATGCAGTAGATGGGAGACGGTGGGGTATGTACCAGGGAACGAGGACCGGAAGGCCGGTGGGGAGAGCTCATTCAAATGAATTGGGATGACACCCCAGGCGCCCTGGACGAAAAATTGCATGAAGAATCCCGTGGCGCTCAACGCGCGTTCACCCTCTGGCAGGATCCAGGCCGGGATCAAAAAGCCCGAGATCAAAGCTGAAACGATAATGGCGCGTCGGCGGCCGAAGAACTGGGACAGGTATCCGATGATCGTACCCCCGACGCAGGCGCCGGTCTTCATGAGGATGGATGCGCGGGAGGCACCGGCATTTTCCATTCCCTTCTGTGTCAACATGAATGTGGTGTAGGAGTCTTGCGAGGTGTGGGAGTAGTAGTTGAACTAGCGCGGGTGGTCGGGTGTTAGTCTTGATGGCTGTTGCTGGTGGGGGTGGACGAGGACTTACCCAGGTCATGAGAATGATGGCATACACGCACATCTTCCACTCCTGCGCCAGCATCTCTCTGGTTTCTTTCCAGAAGGCCCCGGCGCTCATGGACTTCTTGCCGGCCTTCTTGGCCTCGAGGAACTGCTTCGACTCCGGGAAGAAGATGCGGATGATGCCCACCCCGATCGAGATGCCAGCTGAGCAGTTGTAAGCCTGGATGTACATTAGTTGGATTGGGTAGGGTACTGACCAGCAGCCCAGAATACTGTCTTCCAGCTTTCGGTGGCTCCACCAACTCCGAGGTTAGCACAGGCAGCGAGGACATAACCCAGGGAATACCCCTGTTGCAGAATGCCGGACATAAGCCCACGAGCATTGACACTAGGAGATGTTAGTCAGGTGGGACAAATTGCGAATTTGGCTGGGACACGTACGGGCAATGCTCCAGCGCCATGGCAATGGCGTTACCATAGACACCGCCCATGAACAGGCCAAATAGACTCCGTACAGCCAGGAATTGCTGGAACGTGTGACTGTAGATGGTCGCAATCTGTAGCACACCCAAGACAATCATGTTTAACACCATGGGCCATTTACGGCCGAACTTGTCACCCGCCAGACCGAAGAAAGCGGCACCAACGCTTCGCAGAAGAAGCGTCAGGGTAATTGCCGTGGAAATTTCGGTTTTTGTGCGGTGGTAATACTTGGCCAGCTTCACTTGCTGGATGGACAGTGCATGGAAGTCAAACGCATCTGCCGTCCAGGCTGTCAGGCCAACCAGGAAGAACACCCAGTCCCGGGCACTGAGCTGAGCAAACAGGCTGATCGGGTTCCTGATGGGATCGGGCTCTTGCCATTCGGTGCGAGTCTCCCCGTACTCATTGGTCACCACGACCCGTTGCTTCCACTTGAACAGATCGCCCCATGCTTGCTTCGCTGTGGCTAGAATTCCATCGGGGATGGGTTCCGCTGGCTCGTTCGTGGTACTCATGTTGCCAGGTACTCTTCGATGAAAGAAAAAGAGAAGGAAAAGGGAAACGAAAACGAAAAGAGCAATGGGCTGTTTTGAAAGCGGACGAAAATAATGCTCTATTTTAAGTCGCGCAACGACATCATGATTACCCTCCCCCCCCTCCCCCCCGGCACCTCTTTATACATGATGGCAGCGATTTCACTGCGGCCCATGGTGCCGTCGCTACTGGGAAGTAATGTGGCCAGCCCACCTGATGCATTGAGAACGATCCCCGCGAATCCCCAGGTTGCAGGCCAACATTCCCCGCGAAAAGCTTCCAATCTCATTGAGCCAAGATGGCGCCAAGCAGCTAAGGCTGAAGTGGTCGTCCAAGCGTGCCCAGCTGTGGCAGCCACACTAGCCAGAGTTGCCGTTCAGGGTGGTATCTCCTGTGAAATCGGCCCGCCCTTGATGCCCAGAGGCGCTAGCTATCCCAATCCCATCCTGGACGCGGGGGGCCGGAGTGAATTGGTGTGACGAGAATCGGAACCAATTGAACCATCGGAGGCACACAAAGGAGGCCAGCGAATTACTCGCGCGGGCGGGTCAGAAGGTCATGGACAGGACCCGTGGGCCTCGCGCCCACGAAAGAATGGCCCCTCGGACGCGAAAAATTGTATCAGCCAAGAGAATTAGTTTTGAGTCAATTTTAAACTTATTTCCCCATGCGCTTGTGGGGGTTTGTGTTTTTTTTCTCCTGGTGGATGTCCTACATGACCTCATTCGGATGTTTGTAAATGGGCTACGGTCAGCCACGTTAGTACCTCTCGCCTCTGAATCGGTTGAGTAATTGTTTGGGTGGACTGATCAGCGAGTGTCCACCTCCTTACATCTCAACCGAGCATTCTTCGAGACACATTGCGTTGAAGTGCAGGCATTTGCATCCTGTGTCAAAGTTCTGCCTCGGCGTCTCCATCGCGGAAGTCCTCCGACCACGGCATCTCAGACTTCAACTAGTTAATGGCTGTCAACACCCCGATAACTGCTTCGGGGGAATGGGTCGGCTTTCACCTCGCGTGTCTGGGCGAGCCTCAAGACTTTCCCCGCCGAAGATCCGGAGAGAAGCCCCTCGTGGCGCCGCTTGGCACTCGAGGCTTCGGAACAGAAGCAAGTCTTGGAAAACGTTGTCAAGAGCCAGCGGAAGGCTTGACCGTGCGAACCAACCTTAACTCCTCGGGTGGATTCGGGGGCCTGGGACAAAGAAAAATCATCCGATACCACTATGGAATCACTCCTTTAGGGAGGAGTTGTGGTGGAGGTGCATCTTGGTTCTGGCGGAGAGCTTTTCCTTTCAGCATCTCCTGGTCGTAAATCAGGTGGTTTGACGCCTTCGTATATTCCCTGTCAGACTAACCAGACTCTGATAAGGCAACTGTGACCCTGTCTCTGGTTCTTATTGGTGCTGTTTATCTTTTCATGTGGGGTGGGCTACCATCGGCCATCCCGTTCGAGATGTTGCTCATCATTTCTAGTTTGGGCTACTCCTTTGACTAGTATAGGATTAGAATTCACACACGCGCGGTGTTTTAAGACTGCTTTTGGAAGCTAGGAAATTGCCTCAATACTAAGAGAGTTGCTCTAGTAGGATTAAACTAGGTTTAAGCAAGTGTGCGTCGTCGGTGGTAAGTTAGGGTTTCCGGGTGGGGCTGACAAAATATATATTCCAAGGTATACATAGGGTCGATCTTCTCGACTTCATGGATTTATTCCCTCACAAATCATTAGTATCCAATAGACAAATAGTAAACAAAGAGCTTTTCTTACTATGAACCATGGTATAGTTCTAGCATAAACGGCCACCCTACAAAGGGAGCCCAGGTGTGGAGAGTAGACGCCCGCAATCCAAGCAGACTACATCTACGCCTGGAGAAGACCGAGGCATACTCAATTCGAACCACCTCAGTATGGCATTTATACTCCTACCTGATTAAGAATAACCAACACATCGCAAGACCCACCAAGCTCTGGCCGTGTTTTATCCATGTTAGGCCTTCCTCCGTGATCCAGCCCGCCTTCGCAAATACACGTCAATGGAGGTATTCGGGACGATTTTATCGCCCAGTAACATATTCTTAGGCCTCCCGACCTGATCAGAGCCAAATCGAAACTCATACTCCGTAAGAAACCGACTGAGAATGGCCTTCAAAACAAACGTGGCGAAGAAGCGACCGGGACATGCATACCGACCCAGTCCGAAGTGCATGCTGGTGGCACCGGTGTGGACAAACTGGGACTGAGCTTTGTCCCCGTCGACGTAGCGGAACGCGTCGAAAGTATCGGGATTGGAGAGGTACGTAGTATCCATGCCAATGGGTCCAGATGGCATGCAGATATGGGTGCCTTTCGGAAGCCGGAGGCCATCGGAGAGGACCAGGTCTTTTTTGACTACGCGATGGAAGGATACTAAGCCATGCATAATTAGTGCGTAAATGGGAAACGGGGTGAGGAGGAAGATAGCATACACTCGCCTGGCGGACTAAAGCGCTGTGACTCTTTGAGAAAGCTATCCAGACGCCTGAGCGCAACTAGATTACTGTAGGTGGTAGACTTCCAGTCGGGCAGGACGTCTTGAATCTCCTGGCGGAGGGGCTCGAGCCACTGAGGCATCGCGATGAGATCATACAAGCCATGAGTGATGGACATGGCACTTGTATGCACGACTGCCATGCTGGTAAGACCCAGCAGACGGTGAGCGATATTCTTTGGATCACCCTCCTTATCATTCTGCGCCAGGTCCATCATCCACTGGAGGAAGTCATCCGGTTTCTCGTAGTCGGCATCTCCCGACGCTTCCTTCTGCCGTCGTCTCGCGATCTCTGGACCCAGAAGCTCGTCTTGAACATATCGTAGCTGTGTGTCTAGGCTGCGACTACTAGGTAACATGGGCCCGATGATCGGATGGAGGAAGCTTGGTATGGGACGCAGCAGTGTGACTGTCATGAAGATGTTCTTCGTAAAGTCGATGGAAGCAGCCAGCCATTTCTCTCCACGGCAGATTTCTGGTCCTACAAACACACGGGCACCAGCTCGAGCGACTAGGCGGAGGAAGAGCTCATACGGCCTGATTGGGACCCATTTGTCTATAGCTTGTGAACATTCAAACAGGCAATATAGTTGAAATTGAACCCACCTTCGCAGTCTGGCATCTCAACATCAAAGCCATGCTCTAGTTCGTCTATAATTCTCGGTACCAATCGACCTGATGGAAAGTTGTATTAGCTATGCCACCTGGTGCGGTATGAAGAACACACTAATCGCAGGAGTCAGACGCTTCTGTATAACCTCGGTATGCAGGTGACTGTCATTCAAGATTGTCGTGTATTTGCCTACATGATCCTACAGCAGCATGATCGTCAGCTATAGACCCTAGGACGTGATGAAGTATTGTAATCCTCACCTCAAACACCGCTTCCAGAGCATTCAGTGTCGTGAGAGGTAGCTGGCGTAGCTCTTCCACGTACTTGTTCGACAGTACGATAATATCCCCATCGGGCTTGAGAAGGCGGAATGCTCGATCCTTATACTATGATCCGCTGTGGGTAGCTAGCACAAGTCTTTCCAGCCATAGTCTGCTCACCTGTCGATATCCCTTGTAGATCACAGTAGGGGCTGTTGAATTGAACCATACTCGACTCAGGAATTCAGGTAGATACGGATTGAAGAGCGTAACAGTGGGTACAGACATATTGCTGCGTTTCACGGGGTTGGGGATTATGAACCACGTAAACAGGATGACGAGCGTGATAGCAAACAAAATGGAACCATTCTCTGCAACAAACGAATAGCCATACTTGGCCGCTGTTGCAGTGAGATTGTCCGTATCCATGGGTATCTTCGAGTAATTCAACTCGATCTTGTCAACATAGAGTGGACGTCCCTGGTTTCACTCTGAATTGTGAAACATATCCTTCTTATTGCTGAGTTGGTATCGGTGAATACCCCTCGTCCGTCCTGTGCCTTGGTAACACAGGCCCAAGGCCACAGGTGGCGCAGATTACGTGCACTGATATATGTATAGCAAGGGTAGCGCCGTCGGGTATGTCGAAGCTGACTTCCGAGCGCAGGCCTGACTTGCATGGTCATAACGAAGGAAGATAAACGATGCCTAACGAAAGCAGGTTTTACTGCAGTTATATTTCTAACCGTTCAGCGTCCATGATTCAGGCAGATTTGCAATGCATCAATTATCTGCAAGTTTCATATTATGATCCTGTTGGCTGATTGGATTAATTCGAAACGTGTCCGTCTGGGACACCCCGGATATAATGTCTTGTTAGCCGACTCCCGACACCTCAATCATGATGCTGCAGATACAAGATATCTTCCGATTCCCAGGTGAGTCTAACAGCCGTTGCCGAGGGCCCATCAATCAGCATCCATACGAGCAACCGTCGGATCAGTCGGGACTTGTTGATCTCTAATCCAGCCCGGTGGCACTCTTGGATGTAACGATCGGTGGCCCACACCGTCGCGGCCCCTGCAGCAATTCCGTAGTCCCATTGGAGGAAGGTAAACAATCCAGCTTCAAGAGCTCCAAGTGCCTCTGCAGGCTGACTGAAGAGCGGGAACGTGACACCGTACGGACCCAGGTAGCAAAGATTCGGTGATTGGATAAAGGATGGGAGTTCGGACGCCACGAAAGCCGAGAGCCAGGTTATATGACAGAGATAGGAACAGAGAAAGCCGAAGCGATACACAGAAAGTGCCTGGCGGCGTGCTGATGACTCCTTCGGGCGTGTAGAACCCATGGTAAAATGGTGGACGATCATTATGACGACAAAATATACTGGCCATCCTTGCCATGCCGCGATGACCTGCTGCTTGACATGAGGGGCAATCATAGAAGGTGCTGTGAGGGACATTGTCGCCAAGGGCAGGATATAGCCCATGATCATGGAAGCAACTAGACCGTCGGTCGGTGTGAGACCTGCTCCTGTCGGATGGGGGTTCTCATAGACCGGTCTAGCCTTAGAAGCTATAGCAAAGTAACATGGTATAATGATACCCGGACCAACTGCCTGCTGTGCAATCCCAACAATGAGAGTCCTTCCAATAGTTGGGTTCTCAGCCTCATGTTCCATTTGGCCATGACGTTGGTGTGAGACTTACACTGCCATGCCACGCATGAATGAGAATGTCCGGCAGATATGGACCGCAACGATCATCCAGATGCCAATCATACCTCCCGAAAAGCTCAATCCCAGCAAGGACAAACCAGCATGGTGACCCTGGGAAATCGGCCAAAAGAAGATGACGGTATTGTCCAGTATATAGTCGAGAGTGTTTAGTCCAGTATAACCCGATAGAAGAGCGACAGGAGATTCCCCAGGAAGCATTCTAGTGGCCAGCTGCTGTGAGAGAAGATCGAAGAATCCATCATTAAATAATGAGATGTACATCATATAGAACGAAGTCATCGCCATTAGCCAGAACGAGTAACTCAAGACAGAGTTCATGATATAAAATGGGGTTGATAGAGTGCAGGCGTAGTTTGAACGTGTAGCAGTAATGACTTATGGTTTTTCAGAGCTTTCGAAAGACCATAAGCAGTATGCCGCCCATGAGCTTCAGGTCTGGGCTACCTTCCGGTGCTTTCTAGCCGCGCGTTGCAGCGAGGAATATATATTGCTGGAACACAAAGGGCGATTGGGTATTTGTGCGTGTGTCAGCGAATTTACAATGGGTTTAGAAGTATTAAACTGGTTCCTGTGCCCTTGAATCCGACAATCGTAGTGTCTTCAATTCTCTATTCCAGTCCTAAACGGCTGAAAGTCCAAAGCAAACACCACACATCATACCTTACCTTACCTGGGACCGGGTCTACGCAATGGAAGGATTTGGCTCGCCGCAAGCCCCAGCGGCGTATCGTGAAGTTGCATGGATTGCGGACATTTTCGTCATCGGAATGGGGATCGGCTGGGTTATTAACTATGTCGGCATGGTCTACGGATCGCTTAAGGCTCGTACATATGGGATGGCTATCATGCCCCTCTGTTGCAATATTGCGTGGGAAATTGTATATGGCCTTATCTACCCATCTACGACTCTGGCTGAGCAAGGGGTCTTTCTATGTGGTCTTGCCATCAACTTGAGCGTCATATACACCGCAATCAAATTTGGACCGGAGGAATGGACCCATGCGCCGTTGGTGCAGCACAACCTGCCACTTATTTTTATGCTGGGTATAATCGGATTTCTCACAGGCCACCTCGCTCTAGCAGCGGAGATTGGTCCTGCCCTGGCCTATAACTGGGGCGCTGCATTCTGTCAGCTGCTTCTCAGTATTGGCGGACTCTGCCAGTTGATCACTCGTGGAAACAGCCGAGGAGCCTCGTACACACTCTGGTGAGTATTGCCCAGGTTGTTTCGGTAACAATACGCCTTGTTGCTTGCTGATCTTTCCTACCAGGCTTTCCCGGTTCTTGGGCTCTTTCTCCGTGGTGATCTCTGCCTGGCTGCGCTATAAATACTGGCCACAGGCCTTTTCATGGCTGGGAAGACCATTGTTAATGTGGTGCTTTTTCGTCTGGCTCGTTGTCGACGGTTCTTATGGGGTTTGTTTGTATTATGTCCAACGGTATGAGCGGAGGATTGATTTAAGTGCGATCGGAAGACTGTCTAGACTGTGGCTGATGGATGCTTGTCTCTGGGCTGCCACTTGTTCAGCCCTGGTGTAACTCGCTTGCCTTTTGTTCGTATTCAGTATAAATATTCTCTTAATGTGAGACTTTTTTCTTGGCTGTTTAGAACCCGATTCGTAGTACCACCTGCGGGATAGACTCGGTAATAATCAAAATATAGCCCTAGACGGCGTTCGATTACGGAATGGACGTTTCCCCCACCGAGAGACTTGGAATAACCAAACGATGAGCAGTAGCAAAGCCATGGAAGCAGTTCATAGACAAAGAAACAAAGGAAAAAAGATGAAAGAAAAGGTATGGCCTCTCGGCACTGACTCGCATAAGACCCCGCAGTAGCCATATCACTCCGATGGGATCAGGGATTGACCCTGCTTCGTTCTAGTATTATACTACTTCTCACTGGTCGTAGAGCAGCCATCTGAACACGCGCCTGGAGGTCAATCCACCTTAGCCCCGCGTTGATATTATGCATAGGTCAATACGGCCCAGCACCATTTAGCTGTCTTGTCTGTTGCTGGGTACTCCTAGTTACTGAGACTGCCCTTCAATCCGACGCTGGTAAGCTGTCAGAATTATTTCCTTGGTGATTTCGAACGTCAATGCCTCCGTTCACCTACATGTCCTGAGCCCTTGGCTAATTCAAGCTACCACAGTGATCGCATGGGTGGTCAGGCTTATTGAGTAGCAGTTGAGGGGACCTGCTTGAAATCATCGAATTGCTCAAGAGGCTGATCATGCTATCGCTAATGTCTCAACTCCCTCAGAGTGCGTTGGCTTATTGCACGGAGCTGGTAGAGTACCAGGTAACTTATCCGTTGGCCGCTCCTGCTTGGGCGTATTTGCTGGGCGCTCTCGTTATTCAGCAGATCGCCACCAGATGGTACAGATATTATAAATCATGGGTATGTGACCTAGCCTGATACTCGACCATGGCAGACCAGCTGAAGTAGAAAGGTCGACGTCCCGGTAGTTGGAGGGCATGGGGTTGTTGGATCTTGGATCGCGGCATTCCGGTGGACAGCGCGAGCGCGATCATTAGTTGATGAGGGCTATCAGAAGGTGTGTAGACCTTCAATAGGATATGGAATCTACTGTGACGCATTTCATACAGCACGGTGACTTTGCCTTCCAGGTATCAACTCCAGCTCGATGGGAAGTCTTTATCTGCAATGAGGCAATGGTGCGCGAGTATCGGAACTTTACCGACGAACGCTTCTCGGCGAATGCAGTTACAGCTGAGGCAAGTCTTCTCTTAACGGAACTAAGTTCTGGAAAGCTCGATGCTGATGTTGTTCTATGCAGTTGTTCGAAGCGAAGTATACTGTTCCGGGCGCGGCAGAAGGCGTGCACAAAGTACCTGTTCCTGCAGTGGCAAAGGCCCTGACCTGGCAGCGCACTCGCGCCGCAACCAAAGGCGACCCATACTTTGAGGAGTTTGTCAAAGAACTAGAGCACGCCTTTGAGGTGGAGACCATGTTTGGCGGTGATGATTGGAACGACCTTTGCTGTTTCGCTACTGGGACCAGGATCGTGGCCCATCTAACCGCCAAATCCCTCGTAGGGTACCCTTTGTCTCGGGATAAGGAACTCATTGATCTATTCGCCGAGTACGGCAATGCGGTGCCCAGCAGTGGGTTCTTTATTGCGATGTTTCCAGAGATTTTCAAACCGTAAGAAAAGCGCACCCCTCGACTTCTCCGTTATAAGCTAATGCGTTTATAGCTTCGCTGCACATTTGTGCAGCGCCCCGAAGATATCAGCGCGCCTAGACAGTATTGTGATGGACGAGTTGAAAAAGAGGAAAGAAAATCCCCGGAGCGAGCCACAGGTACTAGCCTTTCTACTGCGTTAAGATACAGGCGCTGACACGGTCCCTTAGGATATCACGGATTGGCTTTCGTCCTGGAGTCGTACCTACCCTGGGACGTACACTGACCAAGACATTGCTCGGTCGGTAACATCAGCCGTGTTTGGTGCCATCCATACTACTACACAGGTGAGGTCTACCTAGGTAACCAAACTCTTCGAGGCCGACCGGCTTACCGTAGTGCTTAGGTGTTGGTCCATTGTCTGATGGACCTGGCCATACGGCCTGAATACGTACAGCCACTACGCGAGGAAGTGGAGACAGTCTTCAATAGGGGTAACCATAGCTGGACTAAAGAAGGACTTGAATCTATGGAGAAGCTGGACAGCTTTGTCAAGGAATGTCAGCGTTTTAATCCCCTGGATGCTGGTCAGTGAATCATCGCATGTAGTACATAGCAACCAGAGTCTGAAGTCTCCCTCTAGGTTCTCTTGCACGACGCGCTACCAAAGACTTCACCTTTGGCAATGGTCTTCGCATTCCTCAAGGAACGTTCGTGTTCACACCAAACGCACCGGTTCTCTTCGACGAGAAGCATTATCCGGATGCTCGGCAATTTGACGGCTATCGATTCTATCGGTTGGGTAGGGTTACAGGACGACCACTTGACTACAAATTCATTGCTACCAATACCAACTATCTCCAATTTGGAGATGGGAGACATACATGGTGAGCTGAAAGTGTGCCTGTGAGGTCAGAGGAACGACGCTGATTTTAATCTTGCTATCAGCCCCGGTCGATTCATGGCGGCAGATGAGATCCGTCTCCTGCTAGCGCATATTCTTATGAACTACGACATCAGACCGAAAGATCACGGCCAACGCCCGCCCAATTGGACCTTTAAGAAGATTTTGTTCCCGGACATGAAAGGAATGGTGCAGTTGAAACGGCGATCGGTTACGGCGGCCAACGCTAGCTAGTTACGCTTGGGTGTTCAGAGCTTGAGTAGAATGTGATAGAGTGCATGCCCGTACCTGCGAGAGCTTCTGGTATCATTTACCAACTGAATTCAATAATAATGCTGTTATACCCATCAGAGACTTCGTTCCTCAATTGCCACATTTTCACTACAAGAACCTGAAATGCAGCACTTAATACTGAACACGCATAGCGGTACAATCAAACATGGAAGGTATATTTACTGGCAGGAAATAGCCGTAAATAGTTAACTAGACTGTACCTAGTCTCAATTGTGTATGAGAGCAACCTTCACAAACCTCTTTGAAGTACATCATGTTGCTATGAATACACCCCATTCGTATGATTTACTGCATAAACCAGTCACTAATGCTTCATGGAGACTCTTTTCATCCATAGCTTTACTCTGTAAATAACGCAACTGCTCTTGAAAGAGTCGGGTGACACCATTGAGCGAAGATTGGTATATCTGGCGTCATCAGTGAAACCGTGGCGTCCGAGTGCAAGGGCATAACCCCGTATGTATGCAGGGTCATAACATGTAGGAGAGGTTGGAGAAGTGTGAAATACATCACACGACTTGTGGTTCTCGTGGGCAGGCTTACTGAGAACTTTGCTTTTTCACTCTGAATCCCGTATTGCATTGCTGGCTGCATAGCCTGCCCACAATGCATTGCATGTGTCAGTCCCCCCTGCTTGGAGGGCTCTATCCGATGGCCCCGTGGACATTTCTCGGGGATTCCAAAGCCTGCTCATGGCCTCGGGCTATATAGAACTTTCCATGGATGCTGTCGAGGTCCTAATCAGCATCATTTCCATTCACTCGCACCGACCTGCAGTGAAAGACTACTCAGTGCAGCTTCAGCACACGAAAACAGCAAGCAACATGTCCAATCCGAGGCTGGAGGCGTGCCCAGCCCATCAAGCCCTTGCTCGAGGCATGGGGTTCAAGAACAACCATGAGAAGCTATGGTGGGCTACCTTTGGGCCTCTCCTTGAGAGGCTGCTGGCCCTCTGCGATTACCCAATGTCCCTCCAATACCGGCACCTATCATTCGTCTACCGCCATGTCCTTCCTTACCTCGGTCCATATCCGACCGTCGAAAACGGTTGGGTATGGAAGACCTGCTACTCACCGGACGGAACGCCAGCCGAAGTCAGCCTCAATTTCGACGGGCCAAGGAAGACCGCGCGTATGGACCACGTCCCTATGAGCCGGTGGAGCGGCACATTGCAGGACCCCTTTAGTCAAAACGTGGCCCTGGAATCGATCAAGTCATTGGCTGCTATACTCCCTGACTTTACTTGGGAATGGTTCGACTATTTTGTCCAACGAATGTACATCCCCGAATCGTCAACTGAGACGGTGCTCGCACGACAGCCCCCGGAATTCGTTCATATGATCATGCAGGGTGTCAATGGGTACGACCTGCTAGACAGTGGCGTTCGGGTGAAGCCCATCTTTAACGGGCTTGCCAAAAGTGTCGAAACGGGGATATCCCTGGACAAGATACTGTTTGACTCAATTCGCAGCAATACTGAACTTTTCGGTGCATACCACCCCGCCCTCAAGGTTATAGAGGGCTACTGCCAGTCGGACCAAGCCAAGCAGTTTGGAACAAAGGCCTGTTTCCTCAGCTTCGATGCCACCAACACCAAGGACGCGCGACTTAAGATCTATCTGCATGGGCCACAGACAGCATACATTAAGGTCCAGGACGCGTTTACCCTGGGTGGCCGCCTCGATAGCCCCAATATTCAGGCTGGTGTTAAGGAGCTACGCAAGCTTTGGTATGGGGTGCTCAATCTGCCTCCAGACTTCCCCGAATCGGAGGACTTGCCCGTAACCGACGACCTTTACCAAGGCTGGCAGGCTAATTTTGAATTGCGGCCCAACAACCCTGTCCCAGAGCCAAAGGTATATATTCCCGTGGCAATTAACAATAAGGATCAAGAGAGTATTGTCCAAGGACTCCAGGAGTTCTTTTCCCGTCATGACTCCATGGACGTACAGGACTATCGACACATCTTTGAGACGCTATTGTACGTTTGCCCAACCCATATCAAGAGTCATGGGTTTGCTTGATTTACTAATATGATTCTATCTTTTCAGCTTGGATGGTGACAAGCTCACTGGAATTCATCACTTTATCACCTTCAGTTACAAGTCCCATCCGTATGTCACTTGTTACTACAAACCACATGTGGTCCCAGTCCCAGCCAAGGAATTAGAAGAGCCAGATGTGAAGGACCTTTCCAAGTAGGATACATCACAGTTCTACAGTCGAATCACTTATCGTGCTAGAGTCATACGATCAAACCAATTGCCATTTTGCTCCAACATCACTGGTTCACCCATATCTACACGTCGACAACTAGACTATCGCATGTGTTATTCGGAATTAACTTTGTAGCTCGACTACGGGTCTAGACTAACTATCTCCATGCTGTGAACTCATCTGGTAGAATAGCGGAGCACATCTGAATTGATCAAACATGGTCTCCATAGGTCCAACCTTAGTAGTACCATGGAACTTGTAGCCTAATAGAATGCTCAGCATATCATGTATTTACCATGAAATAATGCCAGATGAGTCTAGCAATGGGAATACCTAAGGACCGAGTTGGGAACTGACTTTTCTTTCTTGAAAACCTTGATATAACAACCTCCTTTTTCCAGTTCGCCATGATACTAGGTGCCATTGTTACTTGAAAGATAGTCCCATGCCAAGTGAAGCTTCCCTATTCCCTACTCATGTCCGCCCTTCCCCGTGTCATCGATTTTCACTTACTCCATGCACTTCGGCCTCTCGCCTCACCCCATCCAAATATTCCTTCATTTGTGCCCCTTGCTCTGCTGGTGAAGTTGTGCATTTATATAGCCCTTGAACATCTGCCTGTATGATAGACATCTTCCACTCTACCAAGCCCACATCTTAAGCCTTGCTCTCCTCTAATGTCTCCAGCCTTAGATCGATTTTGTCTTTGACTATGGCTTTCTAGTAGGACGTATTGAGTCCAAGACACGAGTCATGTATCAGCTGCTATTTCCGGCCGAGTGGTAGCTATTGAGAATAGCATGGCCTATATAGTGCCAACATTGCACTCTGACATCTGTCCCAAAGGAAATCTGACACCTTTTATTGCCCCCTGAGTCTTCGGGCCGCTGGTTGGCCTCCCAGTTGCCCACGTGGTCCGAACCTGGTCTCGTATGGAGAGACTACAAGCCAACGCTGAAGCGACTTTGGAAAGCCTGAAAGCGAATAAACGAGATCGCGAGCTATGGCTCAACATACCCGGCTTGACCAAGAAAGCCATCGGAAAGGCGAAAAGTCACGAGAATAGGTGGAGGGGTCTCGCCTATCGTTTCCAATAGCGACAGCTATGCTCTTCGTTCCGTTTGTTGACTCATGGCAGTTCAATTTGTCGCTATGGGTGGCCTCGCTCATGCCTCGTTGTTGAACTTGTGGATGTACTCTTGAGCCTGGTCTCAACGCCTCGGACTGCTGTGTTTCTTGATCTTTGCTGCGGCTAGCCCACCCGTCTCAGGTTAGAAAGCGGGGGAGGGGACCGTCGGCATAGTGAAGATGATACCAGGCCACAATCAGGAACATCTTATACAGAACCTTTCTCTGGCCATAAAGGACCAGCTAGCTGCACCGCGTATGTCAAGAATCAATAGTTCCTGGGGCTATAACACTGTGTGCAGGCCGACTTGTGGAAACAAAGGAACGCAGGGCGATCAAGGCTTTACCCACTTGGCGGACTTTAGTGATTGAGTCTTCAGTGGATAGTAACGCTGAAAGAGGGTGCTCGTTGGTGGTTTGAAAATTCGAGGGGAAGGGTGCGTATCATGATAGTTCTTGCTTGTTCTACTCAGTCGGCGAAATCGCAGTGGTACGATTTCAATGTCATGTGAAGCACAAGGCTTTTCGTACCGAGAGGATCAGATCGTCTGGATGTTGGAGCGAAGATGTTCCTGTCACTCCTCACTATGCGGTAACTGTGTCAGATGATCCGCGCCCAGTGTGAGGAGCTGCCGCTCCCTCGAAGTCTAGGACCATATGGTGTTCACCTGGATTCCTATATTCCCACCTTTCTGTGATAGCAGCTACCTTTGGGGGAGATCCTGTTCTTGGTCATAGCCTTGTATCCCAGTTCGTTGAGGGCAGGATGGAGGACAGCGGATCCATGGAGAGTATATCAGTCAACGAATTGGTTGAAAGAAATCGTCGAATGGGATGGATGTTGGATCGTTGAGTGGAGGAAAGAAACAACAGAGCATCCTTCGCTTTCACTGTACGAGTACACACCCAGTTGCGAAGGGGGAGAAGATATCGTCTTTGAATTCATTGCGCCGTTATCTTATGGGCTTGGCTTTGGAGAATCGCTCCGTGCAGGTCTACAGGATTAGGGTTGCTATGTCGCACAACGTCGATGATTAGCTATTTATTAGTTAGAGAAAAGGAATGTAAATGCAGTACTAATCTTTTGCCACTAGTTAAGTCTTCAGTTGTTATCGATAGCTGGACACTAGATTTCATTTATTGCCACTGCTATCTTAAATACATCGTTGCACGAGGTAGGCATGCGCACCCTGTACCATAAATCGGGAATGGAATCCAGAGTAGCCCTTTCATGAATTGAGGGGTTTCTTTAAACATGCATTAGGGCTGACCCACTCAGCCGATAAAGAAGGAAGGCAACTCCGACGAAGGCAGGTAATCTATCGGACTTAGCAACCTTCGAAATGCGCCTTCCATGGACATGGCTCCCACCACCGAAGAGACCACGAGGACAACGTCTTATAGACATCATAGGTTTGCCAAGATGCCATGGCATTGAAATACTTCCAAGTACCCCGGCGATGTTGCGTCGATGTACTTTCTCACCTCAGCCACTTCTTCATTAAGCAAAAACTCCACAGTAATGTCTACAACAACGGCTACCACTCTTGAAACCCAGCCAAAGGTGCTACATGCTGGCCCCAATGGCACACCTAGTGCGGAGAACGACCGTGCGTTCCAGGCACTTGCAAGAGGCGACCAGCAAGGTGTGCTGAAACTGCGAGGTATCCCTACCTTCACCGACCTGCACGCAAAGCGGCAATGGATCCGTCAACATATGGCTGCGGTGTTTCGCTTTTTCGGAAAGCGAGGATGGGGAGAAGGGGTTTCCGGCCATATCTCTGTACGAGGTACGACACGGCTATGCCGTAATCAAGGTGACTTGAGATGAACTGAAACATCACAGACCCGATTCTACCGGACCACTTCTGGATGAACCCATTCGCGATGCACTTCAGCCTGATCAAAGCATCTGACCTGGTTCTGGTTGACAGTCGTGGCTACGTGGTGGAAGGTGGTAACCAAGCTATGATCAACGAGGCGGGCTTTATGATCCATTCTGAAGTTCACCGTGCGCGACCGGAGGTTATGGCTGTGGCACACACCCACAGTATTTATGGGAAGACGTGGAGCGGTTTTGGCAAACCCATAGAGATGCTCACGCAAGGTTCGTACCCTCTCCCCGGACATTTGTTCTACCTTTAGCAGTCGCTGAATATCCACTTCGACAGATGCGTGCAACTTCTATGGCAGGCTCAGCGTGTATGAGGACCATGGCGGCATTGCCCTGGCCCAAGAGGAAGGGAGGGCTATTGCGAACGCCCTAGGAAAGACTAGTATGGCCGCTATCCTGCAGAACCACGGGTTAGATTCCCCTTACTCTGATTCGGTACTGTGGAACTGGAGTTGACGAGCAGGGAAACAGTTTGATTACGCTTGGGTCCACGGTTGACGAGGCTGGCTTTCTTTTCTACAGCCTGGAGAAGGCCTGTCACTCTCAGTTGCTTGCAGATGCTGCTACGGCTAACGGAGTTCCTAAGAAGATCATTCCCGATAATGTCGCTCAATTCACGGCCGACTCTGTTCAAACACCGGTACAGACCCGATATCATCATTCGTGACACGTTATGACTAACGATTCCATAGAACAACTTCTATCTGGAGTTCCAACCCGAATTTGACTTGGTCGTTGCAGAGTCTAAGGGAGAGGTGCTTGAGTAAATGAAAGCCGAGTTTGACAACTTCCTCTAAATCCATTTATTCTCACAAGAGTTAAATACTAGAAAGGCTCCATGCGGGGATGGATAAAAAGGTGTGCATGTGCATGCAATTTACCCCATGCGTCAACGCTGGCGAATAATTCTTTCTCCTTTTCCATCAGTTCTGAAAGACGGAGTGGTTGGTGTTCTCCTTTTGGCTCGTGGAAGCTTCTTATACAATGGTGCCTTGAGAGCTGCCTTTTGCCGCTAGCCACATGCACAGACATGATATGGTTAGAATACTTGTAAAAAGTGTAGTAAGGTAGGACTGTCTTGAGTCTGGACGAAAAGATTTGCTGTTACAGTTGCTAGGCTGATTCGTAGTATAAAAGGGTATAGTAATCTCTCGGAAAATCGACGACTAACGAGGAGTCGCTAAGTCAGGACACCGTTGTGAGTAAGACCCCCGATGTAGCGCTGAACAATTTGTTCCGTAGTGAACTGAGGTCCTAAGTACCAATCGTCCTGTCGATGCCGCAGAGGATAACGGGAATGCTTTGCGGTCTTCTGGTGGTCACCTCAGACTCACCTGCTGTGCTTCCTGCTTTGTTTGTTCTTCCTAGATCCTTGGCTTTGATGCTCTTTTTTGGTCCACCGTGTTCGTCCTCGTCATCATTCACACCCCTTCTCTTGCTTGGATGGTTTCGCTGGGTCTGTTGGTTCCTGGGTTCTGGTGTGCCCTCTTGTTTATCTCGAAAATACAGATTCCGTAGTGTTTCTAGTTGAGAGATGACCTTCGCGTCGACCTTGCTCAGTCTGGCGCTGCCTAGGGACATAATACCTTGTCTGAGCGTTGCAATTGGGGCACCATGCCATGCTCTGGGCGTTATAAGGCCGAGTTCCTCTGGGGATCGATGACCCGAAATATAACATCTCAAAAACCGGGTGATAAGGCCATTGTTTAACCCGTCCGAGATAGCCCCTTGTTCCAGTAGATGTTCCCGATACATGATAACTGTAGGGACTTCCCTTGGGTACACCTTTCCTTCTTCTGCCAGCAATCGTCTCCTCCTTTTATCCTCGAGTTCGAAATTGAGAAAATACTGTAAGTCGGACGGTATAATTATCAGTGTCCTGGATCGTGCGCTCGATCAAACTCGATATGACAAGTTGGACATAACGGATTCCCGTTTTCCTCAGATGTCAAGGTGAAATTGAGAAGATTGGCATCACACCAGACGGGCACCTGTGCAGTTCTTACATTATTCACCTTGTTCTGGATGGCATCAAACCAATGTTGCTCACTTGTCTGTCCTCGGCCATAACATGTGCAACCTGCACACTTGCCGCTTGGCATGCCCTACGGTCACGCTAGAAATTAGCCATCGTGGATTTGATTTGTATATCGAGATAGATATGTTTAGCATACTGACAATAGATTGGTCGCCGAAAGTGTTGCCGTTGCTTGATCGTGGGCTCGTTCCTTCCTCGAGAAAGTTATCTTGGCTCAGGAAAGTGCAACTCATATACTGAGTCGTCAAAATTACAAGTGTCCCTGCTCATGGTGATGATTATGTGACACAGAGTCTGGCGCGAGTCGAGTTGCGTTGTCACCACAGGTACAAAGCTACGGAGACCGCAGAGGTGAACAAATCTCCCTATTTACAGAAACCACTCGTTGGTCAATCGCGATCCATTTCATTACAGTTAGTCCAATAAGCTTCTCAGGGTCATCTCTAGAATTTACTATAAAAACGATCGGATTAACAGGTCATTAGCGACTAAGGGTATTGTCGGTACATTTCTGTACTGGGTGTGATAATAGCGATACTGAGAACAGGGCTTAGGGATTCTCAACCCAATCTTCAATCCTCTCGGCTCTTGGGCAAATCACTTGAACAGCTCTGTGAAATGCAGTATCCTCGGTCGCCAGGTGAAGATGAGAGCGGTACTCATCCAGGTCAAGTTCTAAAGTTCGTGACGCGTCAAAAGATGGTGTCCGGTGTGATTCAGGAATCACGTCCGTGATCTTAATCCTTGCGTTTCGCGCATCGAGGGGGGCTGGGAGGATGGTCTCCAAAGCTGATTAGTGATATTCGTCGAAGAGGAATGTCGAACTTACGATTCGAGGCTCTCTTAAGGCAGGCTGGCCCTCTTGCATCTCCCATATTTCCATGTACGCAGAGATTGGTCCTACCCAGTCACTTGTAACTATATCTGCTCTCATCCCCACCTCGTCAACAGAAGACGACTCGGAACGTGAATCAGAAAATGAATCCGCAGGGGAGTCTGATGATGAATCCTCGATACCCGCTCCTCCCGCCAAGTAGTGCTCCCTAGATTGCGCGTTTCCATATTGGATGATAAGGTGGTCACGCCGCGCAGTGAAGGCGGCTGTCCTCTGGCGATTTCGGACGGAGTGAGTATCCTCCACGAGCTTGATGACGAAGACAACCGTCACGGCATTTTGTGAACGTTCTAACCATTGGAATGCATCTCGACGCAGGTCACTGTAGCTCTGCGTCAGGCCAACTTCAAAGATCACACGGTATCTAGGCTGGGATGAGCCATGGCTCAAAAACCGCAGTCCCGTATCAGGGTACTTTCTGAGGCCCTCAGACTTGTGCCCGGTGCCACGCAAGCGTCTGTTAGACAAATAGGTCTCCATTGTGCCACAAGTCACGCGTGTTCGCTCATCATCGGTAAAAATAGTACGACCAGCCTCGACAAGAAGGCGGGATACTGTATCTTGTATCGCATCGTGCAAGGGACGGGGCATTGCTCGTATTTTCAAAATCGTAAATTCGGGATCAAATTCGAATCTGATCCTTCTTCTCCTAGCCGCACTAAGAAGGCGCTGTATAGAGTCACTGATGTAATTAGACCATGAGATCTTCAGAAGGAGGGTTTCTTCGCAAGGCTGCTCGTCCAGGAATGATCTAATGCGATTGTGCGCTTCCCTTGTCGATTTCACTAGAATCGCATTTGATGTCTCGGGGGTATAATCAATCTGTGGTCTGGAGTCCAGCGGCACTGCCATAGCGAGGTTGACGGGATCCATTTCGAAGAGACCAAGCCGGAGTCAAGAAGAACTGAAAGAAAGTAAACAAGACCCAGTGCACGGAGTTAGTAAGAGAAATGAGGAAGGTGCTTTTGGTAGATGGTCAAAGTGGGAGCTATAAGCAAAGCAAAGTTGAGGAAGAAGTTAGGAAGGAAACGGGATACGATACCAGAACTTTCCTTCCTTCCGGAGTCATCGTGAAGTAATAACACAGTCATTAACACCGCTCATTAACTACAGTGGAATGAAGGTGGTGACTCATTGTGCTCTGTGAATTGTTCACTCAGATACCCTTCCTCGTACATCGAATGGGTCCTGTAGAAAGAACACAAAACACAACAAAATAAAAAAAAAAAAAAAAGTTTAGAAAGGGCGCACTACACCACACTCGGTAAAAGTGTGTTTGTACCCTATAGCTGTTATACGAACATATTCAGTAACTGAACCACGGTGTTTTCGAGGATGGCAGCATCGATTGGGATTCTGCGGTGTTGTCGGATAATATGGTTACGTCTTGACATGAAGGCTACTGTGCTTTGGAGCTTTGGTACTGAGCCAGTGTCTTCCACTGGTTTGATGATGAGAATGACCCTTACAGCACATTTGAAATGTTGTAGTCATTGAAGAGCATCTCTGTACTGTTCTAGAGCCGTTTCTGACTCTGACCTCAGAGGCAACAGGATACCGAGGGACAGGGAGGTATCGCTGAGGGACCACAGTCCAGTATAGGGGAGCTTGGCGAAGACCTCATTGGGCGTGTGTTGTACACTGATTGATCATGAGAAGCGTGAGTGCGAAGTGAGCGAATATTCGATGGCGGAATTTCACGCTGGACACTGCACTAGATCTATATTACACCTCGGTTGAAAGGATTCATAGACAATTCGCCATCGCCTTCAATCCGCATCTTCGCCGAGACTCAGTCACTGTACCAGTGAATGAATTTCAGTACATAAAGCACAGGTTACTCGGCGGACAGGACTTCTATCGAATATATAAACCCTCATCCTATCCCTAGGTCTACCATTCTTTCCTCTCCTTTTCCATCCTTCTCCAAGTCTTGTCTTGATCGTTCGCTTTTCAGTCTCAGACTGCTAGCCCTTCCCCCTCGAGCACAGGCTCTAGCAAGATGGACAAGGACGACAATCCCAATCAATCAGCCATGTAAGTCTACCTGATGCATCGCATGGCAGACTCGATCTATAAGTATTAAATTAGCACCAGCGTCGCAATGCGAGACCCAGCAACCGCCAGCCTCCCAGGCATCGACTCGGAAGATCTAGCCGAACCAGACCCCAGGAGCTGGGTGATATAGTATGTCGATAAGCCGAGACATTCAACCTGGGCGAGAAGCTATGTACTCCAGTGCCATACTCGACGACGAATGAGAGGAGAACTAGCAGCCTGAAGCAACGTCATATCTTCCTACATCTGGTAAATACAATGTAACCGGGGAGGCTTCAAACCCAGAGTCCCATGCTCCAAATATCCTTCTTCCAATCACGGCAACCGGAAGGTCCAACTTCACAGATACCGCGCCTGTTCTGGTTACATTGGACCGAGGTGATGGCTCATCTATATACTCTAATCACGAGGTCTCCTCTAAGGAGATCCACGCCATGCTACAACTCGATAGCAATCCTGTGGATCCTCACTTGGAGTTCAATGCCATCATATCCAATGGTCTAATACAGTCATTTAGACTTAGCATTCACAGATTTTGCAGTCTAGTCTTTTGTTTTCTGGGCAGGTTGGAAGTCTGGCTTATACGGCCAAAGCCTTCCACGCATAAAGACACCCCAGGCCTTCGAGCAACGCCTTTCGGCGGCATATATCGAACCGTGAATCGCCTACTTTAGTTTCCGGGCTAAGTGTATTGTATGCCATTATCTTCACTACAACCCTAGGAAATTTGATCGTTCTACAAGACAAGAAAATAGAAATCATCAGGGCTTGAAAACTATGCGGAGACTGGAAGACCTTCATATTGGCTTCCCTACAGAAGTAGGTGGAAGTATATCTTTAGCCAAGATGGACAGTTTCGCAAGCGAATCGACGTACATGGCGATTAAAGCAAAGGCGGTATAATTTCTGTACCGGCCGAGAATGATTTCCACAACCTAGATGAAGCTATAGTCAAGCTAATCTATGGCTTTTACTTCGAACATCAATTCTCATTGATTCAAGTGAAACGCTTCATGGACGTTATGCATACAGTGACGTTTCCTAGTTTGGACAATACCACCGAAAGCCTGGTCGCTGCGATTATTTTCTCAAAACGTCTCAACGACGTGACCACTCCACATGACATACAAATGTTTTATGCACTAGTACGCCAGGGAACCTGGTGTACCGCTAATTGGAGACATCGTGTTTGTAGGCGCGATTTTGAATGCGCTGGATTCACCATTCCCGAGTGACCTTATTGTGTCCCATACTGGGAACCGATCCGAGGACGTGTACTTGTGTCTGAATCTGTATCCCGCCGACAATAACCGGAAGTGTTACGGTTGCTCCTCGGACTTTCCAATCACTGATCTAAACATGATAGTTCAGACCAAGGCGAGGAATATTCTCTGCTCGCCGGCTGCTGCCCAATGGCATCCGGTGCTTTTGAACCACGATTTAAGCGTGCTGCAGCCCTGTAGCAAGACCCACTGGGCTTAAAAGAATGGCTACAGTAGCCCATGCTTATGTCCTGTCAATGAAGCTGTGGACAGAGTCGCAAGTCGCGGCCTTTCATCTACTGAAGACACTTCCGGCAGCATTTGCAGCCATCGGAAGCATCCTCGGATGCGGCATAATAAGTGCCCAAGCAGTTATGGCCTTACTATGCCACAGACTTGGGTACCATGTACTGATGCTCGCGCCATCGAATGCTGTTTTGCTGGCCCTAGAGAGCCAGCTGTCTGATTTACACAGCACTGTTCCAGCCCTTCGAGTCCTTGAGGGTGAGCAGGCGACTGCTGAAGACGTTGAGTAGGATAACTCAAAAAAGGATTTTTCATAGGGTCCCCTTTCAACAGCCACAGAGTCAGCCAGGATGCAGCCCTGGAGATAAGCCTTCGAAAAGGGCCCATACAATAACGGGCTGCCAGAACTTTACCCTCCTTAGATATAATACAGTTGATCTAAGCTGGTCTCACAGTCTTTAAAACCCAGAAAAACTGATTCAACAATCACGAGTTTCAGCGGGAGAATCATGACATAGCATACTCCATGCTCGGCATTGAAAACACAGAAGTATATAGAATAAAGGGCATGAGACGTTCAGCATGTCTATAGTCATCGCAATATAATTCTTATTATATTTCTCTATATTTTGGTATTTTATATTTTTAAATATATCAATTTTTAATTTATTATTAGCTCTATATTTTTTTGTTAATTCTTTATAATAGATTCGAGCGGTAATGTAAGAGATTGAGCCAGGGCACCCTATTCCACAAGGCCAAAAGGTCATATAATTCGGGATCAACGATCCCGAATGCCCTGGGGGCATCTATATAGTATCTCGCCGTTACACTACGCCAGCCGATGTACCGTCTTTACAATATGGTGTATATTCTTCAGCAGGCTAAGGTCACAGCCGCTACTCTCTGTAAACCGCCCGGGTGGAAATTGTCCAATGCACCTTTTTGCACGCCGTCGGCGCCACGTCCTGTCGAAGCTGATGGCAATGTCTATCCCCTTCCAATCGTCCCCCTATCCTAAGCTGATGTCAAAGTAGGTGCACGAGACACGAGGACCGACAGATAAGCACCCGCTGGATTGTTGGAATGCGTACATATCAGTCGTAAATGTAGATGGAGATCTAGTGATTAATGTCGGGGTTGGATACCAGTTAAATGGCCACCCGGGGAATATTGTCGGGGCCTGTATCTAGTACTGCCGGGCCGTTAGTGTACAATTCATGTTAAATCGCATACCAGATTTCCTGTTGGTACATACATCTGCAATATGCAGTTGCATGGAGGATATGGGGAATTGGATGGATGACCTTAGATCATAATCTTTGCCAATATTACGGCTGTAAGTGGTGACAATCCATTCTAGTTGAGACTCTTTTCGAGCAAAGCGACCAGTTCCGTGATTCAGCACTCCACATAATAGAAAAGTACAAAGTCCCTGATATAATAACACGACGGCGGTTCCAGAAGATATCAGATCCAAGGCACCTCCACTATTGCGTCCACGTGCTACTACATCGCCAGCCGCTCGTCCATCAGTTACTAGAAATCGAGGCCACGGACCCTATATTTCCACCGAGACCAAGAGAAGAGACCCCTGATATCACCTCTGCGTAGTAAGTGCCGTCAATGACATTATTTCCCCCGGATATTGGCGATCGTTGCTTGTCTGTATCAATCAAGTCGTGCCAGCAAGAGGCACCAATCCAAAACCAGCTGGTCCTGGACCCTCCACCCGGCGTTTCTTTTTCGTCTCCAAATCCAGCACCCCATGACACGCAGAGCCTTCCTTGTAGTTGAACAACCTCGCCGCGCGATGGTCATGACCGTATTGACAGTATCTCGGGTTCAACTTGGAGAGAAACAATGTAACACATCCTCTCCCCGCGAGGATCTTCGGACACGAGACCTTTAGACCGTGAATATAGGTGCATTTCTCCATGGCACAAGTGATCGATTCATGCTCTTGCATGGACTGTCAACCCGCAGACATATATTATGAGTACCATATATGTCTCAGTCAAGGGATGAAAAGAGTGAAACTCACCTCGCATCGCCTGAGAAACTTGCAATCTGTCTGATTGCATTTCACCCCTGCCAAGTCAGCTGGGCACATAATTGTGATCAGGTCAGCTGTCTGTTGTTCAGTCAGGTTTGCGACGTTTATCATGCCTAACGCCTGCACCGAGGATCCCTTTGGATGTTTATGCGCTTCCTCCATGTTGTCCTGCGATAGGATCTCTTGCTTCACGGTTGAAGATCTCTACAAGACAGCCGCTTTGTCATTCATCATCCGGACAATAATCTTGGACATGGAAGACGCGACATACCTTCACGCGTCTAGCCTTTCCCGTGGCCTTCGTGATTGTGCCGTCCTTGACCTGTACCTGTGAAACATTGTGTAATGTTAGGATTTGCGAATTAGGCCTTCCAAGTGAGATGGACAGTACGTGTTCCTGCGAGAAAGTGACGGTGAGAGTGTTTTCCGATGGACTATGTTGCTCGATACGTCTAATCAGACGCCCGAGGTCTTGATTCGCTAAGGGTAGCTGGTTTGTATCAGTTTTTGATAAGGATGAGTTGTGTATTTGGTTCACGTACAAATAGCTTGATGATACTGGCGTGTGACTCAGCCATGGTGAAGAAATAGCTGTCGGTAGCAAAGCCGATACATCTGGTAAATGAAGAGCGTAGATATGAGTGTACCGAGGGGTTGTATTAGTAGCGATTGGTGGGGGAGCCAGATGGTGAATTACAGCTCAGGAAGATTGTTGGGGATGTCCTGTGGACAGTGAATGGTGGAGGGAAAGCGCCCATACTTCTCCCACTGCTTGCATTGTTACAGGCTCGCAAGGAAATTCTGTTTCTCCTACGGCATATCGAATCTGTTGCCTAGACTACTGTTTCCTGCGGGAAAAAAGAAAAGAAGAGAAGAGAAAAAAGACCCTCCACTAGGTTAATCGGTGTGTTCACAGTGATCAGAGCTCTCACACCATGATGCCCATCGAGTCCAATGTGTACAAATGTTCCATTTGAGGCCGTCATACTATCACTCTTCAAGATGTACGAAGCCTCGTGGATCAAGGTGTAAAAAGGAGAAAACGAGGGGCTGATCATGTTCAGAACCCTCCAGGAGGTTTTATATATAAACGCGCCACGTCAGTATACCACCCTTTCTAGAAGATATTGCAGTATAGTGACGTTTCTATTTCCATCTTAATATTTTCTTTGATGCTCCTCTTCGGATTTATTCCTCGCTTATGCTTATGCGGAATAAGGTTGTCGATCCTTGGGTCCGGGGAGAATTCGTTGATGTCAATGGCGGAGGAATGAGCGATTAAACCGAGCAATCGTTGGGTCTGGCCCTAAGAATTCGCCTCCCTTCCTTCAGCGGTTGCCTCTGTCGCACAATTGCGTCAGGATGCTTTCGAGGAAAATTGTTGGTCCTGAGTATTTCCAGCCTATAAAAGCCCCACAGCAGCTACCGTTGCCTGCTTTTTTCTAGGGTTGACAAAATCAGGACGTAGTGCCCGGCCAAACCCGTTGCAGCCATGAGAATGAGGCATTTCTCAGGCTATCCGCAGCCACTCAACTTTGACCTCCTCACTTCACGATGATCCCACAGTAACTATTTATGTTAGACATGTCACTCTCGCCCATTGCCACGATCGTGACTTCTTCCCTCCCCTCACTTGCATCCGTGCCGCAGACCTTCTGGAGGGTGTATCCCAACTAGCCCCTCTCCATCCATGCCCCCCTACCCTGAGCCACAGGCTGATTCCTCTCCTCTACGACTTCACCATCATTATTTTTATATCATTATATGGACGCTACTAGCATCACTCATCCTGTACATACCGGGGGGTCTAAGTTTTGTCGATGCCTTACTGCTGGCTTCCGGTGCTGCGACCCAAACCGGGCTTAACCCCATCGACCTGAGAGACCTGCATATATCGCAGCAGATAACGCTATGGCTGGTTCCTATGATCACAAACGTTGTGTTCATTCATTCGCTACTTGTTCTGATCAGGATATACTGGTTTCGGAAACGCTTCAAGAGTGCCATCCGTGATGCCAAAGCAGTATGCCACAGTCAACGCCAGCGGATGAACCAGGCTCTCGACTTTGAGGCCCGACGACCGATAGGCTTAAACAGAACGATTACCGACACCACGGATACGACCACTACTGTGTTCGACTCCTCAGACCGGGATGACGAAGAGCAACCCCTACTCGGAAGTACGGACGAGGAAATCTCCCCTGGAGCATCCCCCCCGACACACGGCGAGCATCAGTCTCCCGTTGGTTACCAAACTTTCAAACCAGCCACGATAGGCCCCTCGAGCCCACACATCACCTTTTACGAATCCGACCGGGATTATGAAGCCAGACAGAAGCGACGATCCTCCTTTTCTCGCCGTCGCTCGTTTGCCGAGGCCGTAAATGAAGCATTCCCACGAACAGACAGCCCTAGCTTGCCTTTCCTACCGTCGTTGATGTGGCAACATTCCATTGCGAGTTATTCTGACTGGGATGAGGATCAGAAGGAGGAGCTAGGGGGGATTGAATATAGGGCGCTGAAAACGCTGATGGTTATCCTGGTCTGCTACTTTCTGGCTTTTCACCTACTTGGCATTTTACTGTTTATTCCGTGGATTATGACGGACTCGGAGTATGGGAAGATGGTCCAAGACATGGGCTTGAACCGACCATGGTGGGCAGTATTTACCGCTGGGTCGGCGTTCCATGATCTAGGGTACACTTTGAGCCCGGACTCGATGGCTTCGTTCCGGAACGCTGCATTTCCACTGTTAGTGATGACCTTTCTCGTGGTCATCGGGAACACTGGTTTTCCCTGCATGCTACGCTTCATCATCTGGTTACTATCCAAATTCACAAGATACGGATCTCCGTTAGACGACGAGTTACAATACCTCCTCGAACATCCTCGACGATGCTTCACGATGCTCTTTCCGGGACCAGAGACGTGGAGATTATCAGGTGTCCTCCTCCTACTTAACGCACTGGACCTATTCGTTTTCTACACACTCCAAGATGTGAGTTCCCCACTGGACAGTACATCTAGTGGTATGTCAACTAAACAAGCATTTCGCTGCACAGAACCCACAAAGCAACCCCTTCTCACCAGGCCTCCGTCTCGTAGACGGGCTGTTCCAAATCACCTCCACCCGAACCGCCGGCTTCTCAATCACCTCTCTCGGCACCCTGCACCCGGCAGTGCAAGTCTCCTTCGTAGTAATGATGTATATCTCAGCCTTCCCCATCGCCATCGCCATCCGCAAAACGAACGTCTACGAAGAACAGAGCCTCGGCATCTACGACGACGAAGACAAGCCCAACCCGCACGGGCTGGCTGCACACATCCAGCGGCAACTGGGGTTCGACCTGTGGTACGTGATGCTGGGCTTCTTCCTCATCTCCGTTACGGAGGGCAAGCGCATCCAACAAACCCACGGCCGCGATTTCGCATTCTCTCTCTTCCCACTCCTGTTCGAGATCGTCTCCGCGTACGGAACAGTGGGGCTGTCGTTGGGATATCCAAAGACGGAGACGAGTCTGAGTGCGCAGTTCAACCCGGTCTCAAAGCTGATCATCATTGCTATGCAGGTGCGTGGCAGACACCGTGGTTTGCCGCACGCCTTGGATCATGCTATCCTTCTGCCATGTGATGTGCACCAGGATCAGCAGGGCGAGTGGTGGTGGAAACGCTGGTTGAAGCGGAAGAGCTCGAATATCAGCAATTTCTTTTCTCATAGCGATGCCGGTGACGATGTCGAGCGGCTTTCGGTATCAAGCCGTGAGTATTAATTAGAATATGAGGGCTTGTCAGATTGATGCGCAACGTAACCATTATCGTGGCCGCTTATGGCTGCTGTTTCTTCTTCCCTGTAATTTCAAACGTATCCGTTATGTAGTTTATGTATACCATTATCTTAAACCGTCCCCATGACGATGGTATATTCCACCGAGGATGATAAATTTCATATATTGACTAGGGGTGCTGTTGGTTTTACTTGATAGCAAGGATATCAGATTATCATCTGTCTACAACCTTGTTCGAACTTCTATCCTGTACCTGGAATAGAGCAGAAATGGAATATATACTTACCGCATTCAAGAATTTAAAATAAGACCACAATCAAAAGAGTTCGAAAGGTATTCTACACAGGGTCATACAATGGATCGCGGGTAGTATATCCTGTATCATCTTCAGCAGGATAGAACTATTGATCGACATGTTGCTGCGGAGCTTGCTTCGCCCACCATTGCAATACTAGACGCTACCTCATTATATAACCCTTGCAAAAGAAATTCTGACAGTGAAAAACGGGTCCGATAGAAATATGGCAAACGCTCTGTCGTTCCAAAGCTATATGGGAGCTCTAGAAAATAAGAAAAGTAGACTATGTCGTAAATTATATGTCATCCAAATTACCAATTTAATTTATATTCTATTAGAATAGATAAGGATGATTCTACCGCTTGCGGACTGAGGCCTCGAGGGATATCTCAAGTTGTGTCTTGGTGTATAGTGCATTAAAATACCGGAATATTTAGATCAAATACTTCGATTTGCAATCTGACAGAAATGCTTTGCTTGAATGGAACCTATGCACAGATAATCTTCCTCCGCTCCTACATTGACTCACATCATGTCAAGATGCTGTAGTCCTCAATACCAAGTTGCCTCTGCAAGTGCTGGGCCCATTCACCTGCCTGCGACGAATATCCATCCAGAACATCTGATGTTGTCAATCTACGGGAGCTCAGTTCTTGGTAAAACATGCACCAGTTCGATAGTCGCTACCCCCCGAGCCAGGCAGGAATAGTGAACGAACTTCGAATGTCTCCTTGGTTTTACCTTCTGCGAGATGCAACTTTGGACCGCGTGGCGAAAAGTCCAAGTCAGTGTTCGTCAACGATTGACTGGTCAGATTGGACAACTCCACAGTAAGAGTCGTGGGGGGAGCAAGGATTGTAATAGGGATCACCCCGGTAATCACCACGTCACCTTCGATTGTGTGCCCTTGCGCGAGTTCATCCTTCATCCATTTCGTGTTGGCGAGGCCGGAATAGAAAAGATGGATCTTTGATTTACTTGCTAAAGGTGGCTGCAAGGTTACTTGTACGGGATCCGTCGATATGCCGCGGACGGTCGTATTTCTGCTCCACCGCATATCGCAGTCGATTTCGAGCCGCGACTTTCCTTGTCTGCTCTGACGTATCAAGACACCCGGTGCCCCCTGGATGGATAGCTCGCGAACATGACTGCGAGAAGGTGAGTCTCTAGGCAAAGATAGCTTCAAAAAGCCCTCTGCCAGCCGTTTACTCGCCAGGTAGTCAAGCGCTGTGACCAACTTGTCCGCGATATCGTTGTGCTCTTGGACAGAACTGTTGCTCAACAGGTTTCCAATACTATCGATCTTGACGTTGATCAGATTGCTCGCAACCGCGTCATTGAGACTGTTGGCCCAGTCGTTGAAGGCCTCTTGGTATTTCTCTGGGTCGTCCGGTGCATTGCCAAGAATAAGACTTGAGCTGGAGCTCCCACCATACACTTTAGTCTGGAATTGACGGGTCTTGAGATAGCTCTTGTACTCGTTGCCGCCTTTCAC